CAACAGTTGAGAAGAGAGGATATTGAAAGGATTCTGAAAGGATAATGAAAGGATATTGAAAGATTATTGAAAGGATATTGAAAGGATAATTCTCATCATTTCTCAACTTTAAGACAGAAAGAAAAAGTTTATGATAGAAAACAATGATAACACAATTAATTTTGCTGGGACAAATGTTTAAGGGTTTTTTTTTAATTGAGACTTTCTTGAAATTACGTTTTATTACTTTGAAATCATGATTTCAAACATCCCAAAATTACATTTCTGAAAATCATATTTAACACAGTCACAAACAGCTAATAAGTCATAACAGATATCATAATTTAATTTTTAAATATTGTACAATACCTTGAAGTTTAAAAGTTTCAATGAGCATGAACATGAACAATTTTTTCACTAAAATTGTAACTTGTACATTTTGCACTAAGAAAAAGTTCAATCCCTCAGAAAAGTAAGAATTAAAAAAACATTATTTGAAATTTTAAGTTAAACATAAGTTTCGTTGAGTCTTAATTTTAATTTAAATTTCAACAATGTTTTTTAAAATATCCCTTTAACTAGAAATCATTGTCATTGGTTTGATTATCATATTTTCATGAATAATACAGAGTTTACCTCTGAATATGACATTTAAAGACGACTTAAAAGTCGTCTTTGATTTTGAACCTAGCTAAAAAATTACAGAATTTCTATTAAAAAAAAAGTTCAGGAACTCAAAGGCTTTCCATAAGGTGGTTTACCTCCCTAAAAACTTATAGTAGTACTTTTTATGGTGTTGGGACATTTCATATAAAGACATTTTATAAATGAACATTTCATAGATAAGAAAATCATAGATAGTACATTTCATAGATAAAGAAATTCATAGATATTACATTACATAGATATTACATTACATAGATATTACATTACATAGATATCACATTTCATAGATATAAAATTTCAAAGATAGTTAGAGGTGATCGATTTATGACCCCCCACCGTGTGTTTGTGCATTAAGACATAAAAAAAATAATGCGATCAAAACTATTTTTCAAAAACCGTCCAATTTGAAGTCGGAAAAATCAGTGTATAAGCCACCAAAATAATTTTCAAATATTACATGTTATAACTTACACGAATTTGAAAACGAACTTTGAAAAATTTAAAAATTAAGAATTAGAAAATTATGGTTAAGGTTTAGGTAATTATGGCAAGTGTAACTTATGGCAAGTGTAACTTATGGCAAGTGTAACTTAAGGCAAGTGTAACTTAAGGCAAGTGTAACTTATAGCAAGTGTAACTTATGGCAAGTGTAACTGAAGGCAAGTGTAACTTAAGGCAAGTGTAACTTATAACAAGTGTAACTTATGGCAAGTGTAACTTTTGGGCCCTATGTAGTGATTATGGACAATAAACAAATTTTATCGAATTATTTTTTTAGGTCTTAATCCACAAACCCTAGGTGGGCGGTTGGCTCAGTTTTAATGTTCATGATGCCTAAAAGATAGAACATTTCATAGATAGGACATTTCATAGACACAACATTTCATAGACAGGACTTTTCATAGACAGGACATTTAATTGGGAGAATATAAAAAAAGATCAACTTTTCAGCCGTTTCTCAACTTTCATGTCTAGTAGGACACCCTGTATAATGTACTTATACTAGGACACCCTGTATAATGTCTACTAAGACACCCTGTACAATGTACTTGTAAAGATAAATGAATTATTTACTATTTAAGACATGAGATTCCAGTTTCAGCGGAGAAAATAAAAATACTTTATTCTGATTCTGATATAGTCGTCGTAGACAAACCTCCATCAATACCGGTAAATATATATATAGACAACTAGACAACTACACATCTAGACATCTAGACAACTAGAGAACTAGACAAATAGACAACTAGACATCAAGACAGATACTGATATAGTCGTCGTAGACAAACCTCCATCTATACCGGTAAATATATAAAAAGACAACTAGACAACTAGACATCTAGAAAGATACCGATATAGTCGTCGCAGACAAGCCTCCATCAATACCGGTAAATATATAAATAGACAACAAGACGACTAGACAACTAAACATCTAGACAGATACTGATATAGTCGTCGTAGACAAACCGCCATCTATACCGGTAAATATATAAAGATAACTAGACAACTAGACAACAAGACAACAAGACAACTAGAGAACTAGATAACTAGACAACTAGATAACTAGACAACTAGATAACTAGACAACTAGACAACTAGACAACTAGACAACTATACAACTATACAACTAGACAACTAAACAACAAGACAACTAGACAACTAGATAACTAGACAACTAGACAACTAGACAACTAGACAACAAGACAACTAGACAACTAGACAACTAAATAACTAGACAACTAGACAACTAAATAACTAAAAAAATTAGATAATAGATCAATTCTGTGGTTTAGGTTCATCCCTGTGGAAGGTACAGACACAACACCATGGTTTTCATCTTAGCCAAGGAACATGGTCTAAGGAACCTTAGAACCATTCATAGACTAGATAGGTATATACAGATTACAGAGGATACAGTTTACTTAGAACTATTCATATACTAGATAGGTATATACAGATTACAGAGGATACAGTTTGCTTAGAACTATTCATATACTAGATAGGTATATACAGATTACATAGGATACAGTTTACTTAGAACCATTCATATACTAGATAGGTATATACAGATTACAGAGGATACAGTTTACTTAGAACCATTAATAGACTAGATAAGTATAAACAGATTACAGAGGATACAGTTTACTTTCAACTTTTCATAGAGTAGATAAGCATAAACAGATTACAGTGGATACAGTTTACTTACAACTATTCATAGACTAGATAGGTATATACAGGGGATACAGTTTACTTAGAACTATTCATAGACTAGATAGGTATATACATATTACAGAGGATACAGTTTACATAGAACCATTCATAGACTAGATAGGTATAAACAGATATACAGGGAATACAGTTTACTGAGAACTATTCATAGACTAGACAGATATACAGGTGATACAGTTTACTTAGAACTATTCATAGACTGGACAGATATACGGGGGATACAGTTTACTTAGAACTATTCATAGACTAGACAGATATACAGGGGATACAGTTTACTTAGAACTATTCATAGACTAGACAGATATACAGGGGATACAGTTTACTTAGAACTATGCATAGACTGGACAGATATACGGGGGATACAGTTTACTTAGAACCATTCATAGACTAGACAGATATAAAGGGGATACAGTTTACTTAGAACTATTCATAGACTGGACAGATATACAGGTGATACAGTTTGCTTAGAACCATTCATAGACTAGACAGATATACAGGTGATACAGTTTACTGAGAACTATTAATAGACTGGACAGATATACAGGGGATACAGTTTACTTAGAACTATTCATAGACTGGACAGATATACAGGGGATACAGTTTACTGAGAACTATTCATAGACTGGACAGATATACAGGGGATACAGTTTACTGAGAACTATTAATAGACTGGACAGATATACAGGGGAAACAGTTTACTTAGAACTATTCATAGACTAGACAGATATACAGGGGATACAGTTTACTGAGAACTATTAATAGGCTGGACAGATATACAGGGGATACAGTTTACTTAGAACTATTCATAGACTGGACAGATATACAGGGGATACAGTTTACTTAGAACTATTCATAGACTGGACAGATATACAGAGGATACAGTTTACTTAAAACTATTCATAGACTGGACAGATATACAGGGGATACAGTTTACTGAGAACTATTCATAGACTGGACAGATATACAGGTGATACAGTTTACTTAGAACCATTCATAGACTGGACAGATTTACAGGGGATACAGTTTACTGAGAACTATTCATAGACTGGACAGATATACAGGGGATACAGTTTACTTAGAACTATTCATAGACTGGACAGATTTACAGGGGATACAGTTTACTGAGAACTATTCATAGACTAGACAGATATACAGAGGATACAGTTTACTTAGAACTATTCATAGACTGGACAGATATACAGGGGATACAGTTTACTTAGAACTATTCATAGACTGGACAGATTTACAGGGGATACAGTTTACTGAGAACTATTCATAGGGGATACAGTTTACTTAGAACTATTCATAGACTGGACAGATATACAGGGGAACATTTGTTAAATATATCTTTTTACAGATTAACCTCAGGACTACTCATGTTTGGTCGAAGTCCTGCCAAGGCCAAAGATATAGAAACTCAGATTAGGTATTGGTAATCCCAATTTTTTACATTGTTCAATGTTTATAGTTTAACGGTTCTGTCAATATTCCAGAAAGCTGTAACTTTTGACCACAATTTGTATTGGACCCATTAAACATAATTTAAAAGCCTTTTTTCGGATTACTTTTTTTGTCGGCATATGCATTTTGAATGAAAAAGTATAGATTAAATAAATCCTTAAGTTAAAAGATGATTGAATTAGATTTCGATAGAAGAACCCGATTGCTAGTTAGTCCGGGGTGAGTTTGACAAATATAATGTGTTTGTTGGCTAGAGGGACTGTTAGCGTAAAGTTGAAAGCCCAATTCACAACGGTACCATTTCAATTTTTAGCTTAGCAACAGTTGAGAAGATAATAATAATTTCCATTAAAAGATGATAAATTTTTTACATTGCGTAAAATCCGCAAATTAATTTTTAAAAAATAACACAATAAGAAATTACCCGTGTCCTATGAGTCCTATATCTGTAATTTGTTTTCAAATTGAACTTGCGATATGACTCTTTCGGGACATTGAAAATATGTCAATACATGAATTTTACTACAGGGTGTCCCAGTAAACATAGAAAATCATAAACTTGAAGCTGTCCTAATTCCCATATTATTTGGACACCGGGCATTTCTGTCACAAAAAAACTTAAACCCGAAAAAATTTAATTTTTTCAGGAATAGGTTGGTGCGAAAATTGTATTTTTTTCAGGAATAGGTTGGTTCGAAAATTGCATTTTTTTCAAGAATAGGTTGGTTCGAAAATTGTATTTTTTTTTCAGGAATAGGTTGGTTCGAAAATTGTATTTTTTTCAGGAATAGGTTGGTTCAAAAATTGTATTTTTTTTCAGGAATAGGTTGGTTCGAAAATTGTATTTTTTTCAGGAATAGGTTGGTTCGAAAATTGTATATTTTTCAGGAATAGGTTGGTGCGAAAATTGTATTTTTTTCAGGAATAGGTTGGTTCGAAAATTGTATTTTTTTCAGGAATAGGTTGGTTCGAAAATTGTAATTTTTTCAGGAATAGGTTGGTTCGAAAATTGTATTTTTTTCAGAAATAGGTTGGTTCGAAAATTGTATTTTTTTCGGGAATAGGATGGTTCGAAAATTGTATTTTTTTCAGGAATAGGTTGGTTCGAAAATTGTATTTTTTTTCAGGAATAGGTTTGTTCGAAAATTGTATTTTTTTCAGGAATAGGTTGGTTCGAAAATTGTATTTTTTTCAGGAATAGGTTGGTTCGAAAAGAGTATATCTGCAGAGTTCAAGGAAAATTCCCAAAGTAAGTTATTTCAGAAATAAATTTTCAAAAAACCAAACTATTTTATCTTATTTTTCCCCCCAAGAGGTTTGGTGCAATGTAGAGAGCCAATGGAAGTGATCAGCTACAAAATAGGAGTCTGTAAGGTTTCTCCAGGTCAGTAAAAAAGTCCCAAAAATATGTTGTACATTTTTTTTACTTTTTCAAAATCTATATTCGAAATATGAGTTTTCAGGGAGTGTTTACAAAAAGACGATTCAGGTTGAATTATGATTAACAATGAATCGATTGGTACTGTTTTTTTTATTCGATGTTTCTGTAAAGAGCAATTTAAATCACAAAAGTACCAAAGATGTTAATTTTTATTCACGCTCCATTTGTACTGATTATTTTTTAAGCTGAAAAATCAATTTCCAATTATGCTCTCGTTGTAAAGATGACTAGTGGATTTATGCTGTTAAAACATCAAAAAATTTTGTCAGAATTAAACATCTTTTAAGGTAGAAAAATGACAATACTTGTCTAGTCTCTTATTGTGACTATTATAAAGGTTAAAAAGGGACGGATACAGAATCGGACGACCGGACATCTCCCTTGAAAACGAAATTTTCTCACATTATTTGACATGTTTTCCAAGATTAAATAAAAAGTATAATAATTGCACTTATCTTACTGAAAGACAAGCTCTTTATTCTAAAATTATCACTTTTATTAATAATTTTGTCGGACACAAAAACTGAATTTTGACACTTGTGACGTCAGAATACAGCTGTACTGAGAGTGTACATATTCTACGTTGCGATCTATTGTACTATTGCCATATATTCTACGTTGCCATCTATTGTACTAATGTCATCTATTCTACGTTGCCATCTATTGTACTATTGCCATCATTCTACGTTGCCATCTATTTTACTATTGCCATCTATTCTACGTTGCCATCTATTGTACTATTGTCATCTATTCAGCGTTGCAATCTATTGTACTAATTGTATCTATTCTACGTTGCCATCTATTGTAGTATTGCCATCTATTCTACGATACCATCTATTGTACTATTGCCATCTATTGTAGTATTGCCATCTATTCTACGATGCCATCTATTGTACTTATTGCCATCTATTGTAGTATTGCCATCTATTCTACGTAACCATCTATTGTACTATTGCCATCTATTGTAGTATCGCCATCTATTCTACGTTACCATCTATTGTACTTATTGCCATCTATTGTAGTACTGCCATCTAATCTATTTCTTCGTTACCATCTATTTGGTGGCGAGCAGTTCCTTTATTAAAGAGGGTATACGGTTCACGTCAACCTAAAATAAATTCCACTTAAGATTGAAATCTTATATACTTTTTATAATAACTTATTTTATTGAATAGTAATCGAGATAAACCAAAATGTTTGAAAGGAATTGAGTCTTTGCCACAAACTCTGATTTTCTTATCTCTATATCTTGGCAACCCAATATCGGAGACCTAAGATATTTCAAACTATGCATTATGTTAGATAAAAGAATCTAAGTTTGAAATATCAAAGGTTTACCCATTCAGGTTGCGAAGATATAGGGATTAAAAAATTTGCGTTTGTGACAAAGACTCAATTCCTTTCTTATATGCAACCGGAACTGAAAACTTTAGAATGAGATATCATTAATCCCGATCGGTTAAATAACCTGGAGATTAACAGCAAGACGAGAACAAGCATTATTTAATCTGGAGATTAGGAAAAAAGAGTGGATCAAGCATTAATCCCGATATCCACAATTCAAAAAAAATTCCCAGCACTGATAAATTTGCTTTATTTCATTCTTGTGCATAAAACTAAAATTAGAGGAGCTACGAGGTCACAAAGTCGTACAAAGAGGTAGATTTTACTGTCACCTTTTGTCTAGCTTGCAATGGTTTAATAAACAGCCGGATTAGTTAGCTAAGGAACTTGTCTTAGGTCTTCCAGTATTATCAAAATAAGATATAACCCCCCCCCTCCCCCCTTCAGTGGAAATGAATAAATGTGCAGATACTTCAGATATTTCAGATTTTAAGTCAACATATTCTAAATGATTCTAAATTCTAAAGTAATAGTCAATGTCATTACAATTAGATGTTTTTTTGATATAAAAAAGGGTATGGGCAATGAAGAATACATTTTTATTTCTAAATAATGTCATTTCCATATTAGATTTATTTAAGATCTTAACATACTACATTAACTATAAGAAAAATTTTTAAATTAGAAATTAGTAAAAGCTATTGTAAACATTTAATGTAAAAAAGTTCCGAACTGTATTCAAACTTTGAATTATTTTGGTAAAATATTGAAATATCGAAGGTTTACACCACTCGGTGCAAAGATTTAGGAATTAGAATATTTGAGTTTGTGGTAAAAACTCAGTTCCAAGTCTAGAGAACATTCTGAGACTGAACCTGGCAAACTTCTACCTGATTATCATATTTAATAACTGTAACCTGTTTATCTTCTTTGAACGAACTTCTATAAGATCGAAAATGAAATAAGATTATGAATGTTGGTTAGAATGATTAATCATATTCAATAACTTCAGGAGAAAATGTAACATTATCTGTCCTTTTTCAATGAAGATGATTAAAATTATCTATGTATTTGATGTTTTTTTTCAGAATATAAAAATGATTATTTCTTGTAATTATATCTGTAATTAAACAAGGTACTCAACAAATTTTCTTTGGCGCTCCGCGCACACATGAAAAGAATTGATTGACTCGTATCGTTAATTTTACAATTGTTGAAATTATAATTTTTTTTTAAAACACAAGAAAAAAACGATTTGAATTGAACACAGCCAAATCTGCATGCAACAACTGAAAATTTCCTTTCGATCGTCGTCAAACCCTTAAAAAAGCACTTTTATTTAAAAAAATTTTCTAAAGGGGTGGCAAGCCCCCCCCTACACCCCAGATATTTTGCACCCACCCCCCCCCGCCTAGCAAAAGTGCTAGTTGTTCCTCTGGAAATTAGAATATAAACAAAGACAATATTTTTTTCAAAGTTTTGCAGAGTAGCTTTTCTAAAGATTTAAAAAAGCAACATCGTTTTCCTCTTAGAGTAAAACTATTTTTTATGTTACTTAAAATAAATTCAGTTGTTTAGAGATCTTTGAAGTTAATGTGAAATGTATGACTATAATGAAGGATATAAAACATGGTGAAAGCTGAAAGGTAGGAAATGAAGCCTTTATTTGATGGAGTATGTAAATGCCAGAAATGAGTGGAAAATGCAAATGAAGCCCAACTAAAACCAATAATTTGATATACATCATGATATTTTTCTAGGGGTGGAGGGGGGTGGGGTAAAAAAATTCTAGGGTGGTAAAAAAAATTTGGCGCGCCACATTATAAAAATTTACCCACCCCTACACAATCCTTATTTACGCCCCTGAAGTAGGGGATAGGTGGATTAATAGATGAATGGATTAATAGATTAATAGATTAATAGATTAATTGATGAATGGATTAATAGATTAATAGATTAATAGATTAATAGATTAATGGATTAATAGATTAATAGATAAATAGATTAATAGATTAATGGATTAATAGATTAATAGATTAATAGATTAATGGATTAATGGATTAATGGATTAATAGATTAATAGATTAATAGATTAATAGATTAATAGATTAATAGATTAATAGATTAATGGATTAATGGATTAATAGATTAATAGATTAATAGATTAATAGATTAATAGATTAATAGATTAATAGATTAATAGATTAATAGATTAACAGATTAATGGATTAATAGATTAACGGATTATTAGATTAATGGATTTATGGATTAATGGATTTTGTAAATACAAATGGATTAGGAAAAAGAAAAAAAATTGAAGACTAAATTAAATGGTGAGAAAAAAGGAAAAAAGTTGGATATATTTTCCATAAAAAGATTGTGAAAGATTTAAAAACTTTGGCTCGACTCGTAATTCCTTACACCCGACTTTAAGACCCAACTCTGACGACAGCTTGTGTCACGTGATCGACAGTTGAAAGATCTTCAGCTCGACTTAAGGAATTAGGCGAGCTCTGCAGGGTAGTCTTTAAAAAAAACAGCCCAAAATAATGACCTAGAAAATATAGTAAAACCTTAAAAAGGCTGTTAACCTAATTTCCAGTGACTCTCCATTTGAACGGGGCCGTTACCGATTCGCAAATTTACTCTTAATTCTTTGTCTGACAAGAAATTACAAAAATATTCTTATTTTTCCGTCTTGAAATTGATAACTTGAAATTGCGGTTACTTCACAAAATTTACTTGCAGGTTTGAAGAACAAGAAGAAATAACTACGGGAAATGTGAAAAGGGTACTGTTGCGAATCTAGCGTGCAACACTTAGATTATGGGTTCACTTGAAATATTATGTTTTCAATTTGTTTTCAGGTGGGCTTTACCATCAACTTTTTCGGGTTTTATTTTAAATTCTAACAATCCAATCCTTCAATTGAATACTGTCTTTGTCATCTTATCAGGAAATAAGGTTCAGCATGAAAACATACAGTGAAACCAGAAAAATGTAGAATGGGAAGACGACGTTGGAGCAACTGCAAAACTAAATTACATTTGATGTTGTTATAAAACAAATTGCTTTATCAGTAAGTTATTAAATCACTTATTAAGTAAAATGGGTCTGTTTACTTTGCACATTTACTGTGCTTCATGTTCATTGGAACATTTAAAGTCATAACTTGAGTCTAAAAATCAACTTTCTATTTCAGAATTTCCTGGTTATCACTGTCTTAATATCAGACAAAGCCTTTAAGGGCACAATAGTGAATCTGACATATCACCCTAGCAATGGAGGGTCACTTGAAAGTTAGAAAGAAAGGAATTGAATAACGTAAGACTTGAAGTAAGACTGAAGTAAGATTAGAAGTAATGCTGGAATTAAGGCTGGAAGTAATGCAATGGAAGTAAGACTAGAGTAAGACTGAAAGTAAGGCCGGAAGAAAGGCTGGAAGTATAAAGGCGGGAAGTAAGGTTGGAAGTAAGGCTGGAAGTAAGGCTGACGGTATAAAGGCTGGAAGTAATGCAATGGAAGTAAAACTGAAGTAAGACTGAAGTAAGACTGAAGTAAGACTGAAGTATGACTGAAGTAAGACTGAAAGTAAGGCTGGAAGTATAAAGGCTGGAAGTATAAAGGCTGGAAGTAAGGCTGGAAGTAAGACTGAAGTAAGACTGAAAGTAAGGCTGGAAGTATAAAGGCTGGAAGTAATGCAATGGAAGTGAGACTGAAGTAAGACTGGAAGAAAGGCTGGAAGTACAAAGGCTGGAAGTAAGGCTGGAAGTAAGATTTGAAGTAAGGCTGGAAGTAAGACTGAAGTAAGATTGGAAGTAATGCTGGAATTAAGGCTGGAAGTAAAGCAATGGAAGTAAGATTAAAGTAAGACTGAAAGTAAGGCTGGAAGAAAGACTGGAAGTAAGACTGGAAGTAAGGCTGGAAGTAAGGCTGGAAGTATAAAGGCTGGAAGAAAGACTGGAAGTAAGACTGGAAGTAAGGCTGGAAGTAAGACTGGTAGTAAGGCTGGAAGTAAGACTGGAAGTATAAAGGCTGGAAGAAAGACTGGAAGTACAAAGGCTGGAAGTAAGGCTGGAAGTAAGACTAAAAGTAAGGCTGGAACTAAGGCTGGAGGTAATGCTGGTAGTAAGGCTGGTAGTATAAAGACTGGAAGTAAAACTTGAAGTAAAACTGGAAGTAAGACTGAAAGCAAGACTGGAAGTAAGACTGAAATTAAGGCCGGAAGTAAAACTGGAAGTAAGGCTGGATGTAAGACTGGAAGTAAGGCTGGAAATACAAAGGCTGGAAGTAAGACTGGAAGTAAGGCTGGAAGTATTAAGGCTGGAAGTAAGGCTGGAAGTATAAAGGCTGGAAGTAAGACTGGAAGTAAGGCTGGAAGTAAGACTGGAAGTAAGGCTGGAAGTAAGGCGGGAAGTAGGACTGAAGTAAGACTGGAAGTTAGGCTTCAAGTACAAAGGCTGGAAGAAAGACTGAAGTAAGACTGAAGTAAGACTGGAAATAAGGCTGGTAGTAAGGCTGGAATTATAAAGACTGGATGTAAAACTGGAAGTAAGGCTGGAAGTAAGTTTGGAAGTAAAACTGAAGTAAGACTGAAAGTAAGGCTGGAAGTATAAAGGCTGGAAGAAAGACTTAAGTAAGACTGGAAGAAAGACTGTAAGTATAAGGACTGGAAGTAAAACTGGATGTAAGACTAGTAGTAAGGCTGGAAGTAGGACTGGAAGTATAAAGGCTGAAAGTAAGACTGATGGATGGAATTAGACAAGATTGGTCCCAATAAAACTAATTAGAGGGACCATCATTATCATAATTATCCCACATAATCCAGTAAATACAATAATTAGTAAACACGGAATATATTATCTACATTCCTCCGTCAAAATATTTTCCGATTCTTAATCTTTTATTATTAAGATGGAGATAAGTCTATTTTATTGATTTATGTAAAATGCACGGGATAAGATGCGCTTCGTTTTGAGCTCAGAATTGAGACATTTACGCGGGGATTCTTACGCTTAAAGTACTCCGCAAAAATTAAGTTATGCCTGACAATGCAAAGTTGTACTCTCGATAAGTTCACTATTATTTCATTATAGGAATATAAACCAAAATCTTACCAAAATCTTTAATTGTTTAAAAACGCACCTAGTAACTGAGTAAACCAAATTCAAATTATGATATTGCTTTTCTAATTCTAATTGGTGTGTTTTTTTAAATAGCTTTTTTGTAAATTTTTTTATCTCATTCTACAAATTTCTGTTTTTTTTTCTATTTAGAACCAGTTTTCCACTGGGCTTTAGAGTCTTCAGTACGTATAGTTTAGATACAGGGATACCCACAAAAAATGAGACTTCAGAGACGACTTTCTGAATTTATACTGTCTGTTTCCTTATATATATATATATGTATAAATTGTAAACTGTAACAAATGGTGATTATTAATGTATAATGGTTGAATATTATATGTTTTGTTTGTTAACAACTAAATACCCTTATCTTTCAAAACTTCTCTTGATATAATTCCCAATCTAGGAGAAGCATTTCCTTGAACTTGTATACTTGTATATACTTCTACAAGAGCGTCCAATATCATATTGGATAATCTTAAGGCTTTCAACCGCCAAAAAACGGATAGAATACTAAAAGAACCTTGGATATTTTGCATACACATCTTTATATTGTTCTTATATATATATATATATATTATATTAAATATATAAATTAAATATTAAATATATTAAATATTTATATATATATATAATTTTAAATACTCCCTTTGACTCATAAAAATTGGATATTTTTTATCTTCAGAGTGGATAAACCATAGATTAATTAAAATAACAGATAGAACACTAGATGTCGTCTCTTATTTTAATTAATCTATGGGGTAAACTTTAAAAACAAAACATTTTTATCTGTGTTTAAAAAATTAGACTTTGACAATATTGCTAAAGTTACGATGGAACTAACTACACTAAAACCCTAAATAAGCGATACATCGAAAGAATTCATCAAATGTCGTATTCTTCACTTTTTGATAATATAATGTTGCAGATATTTAGTTTTTTAATAAAATAATTAGATGGAGCTCTTCAAAACTGTTCCCGCATATTCATGGCAATTTATTTATTTTCGCAAATACTGAGATTTACGTAAAATAGTATAAAACTCATTGAAAAATGGTCAAGACGACATCTAATAAATTCTTTCGATGTATGGCTCATTTAGGGTTTAACTGTAAGACAAGTAAAAACACCTTTTAATGAAAGGTCTCAAAATATATAATTTAAAGAACAGAGGAGCTGATTATTCTCCTTATACTTAAATTTCTTAATCCTTATATCTTTGCAGTTTGATGTTGCGAACCTTTGCATCTATTCAATCCATGAATTTAGCCAGATTAAAAGTTTCAAATATCAATGTTTATATCCGAATACGTTGTAAAGGTTCAAAGATTAGAAAATTATAGTATAGTTATAGTTATAAGTTCCTTAATATAAAATTATAGTATAGGTATAGTTATTAGTTCCTTAATATAAAATTCTAATTCAATACTTCTAATAATTCCTGTATATTTTTAACCTGATGGTGTAAACCATTGATATTTCAAACAGACTATTGGATCTAACATTCATTGTTTGAATTATAAAAAGGTCTAGGATATCCACAGAAATCCAGACTACTGAAAGATATGCATTAAATCTTCACAAGGTCTTTGGTTTTACCTCACAAACTCGCTTATACTTTTTAGCAGCCGTGGACATTTAAATTAAAAATTGCAACATGCTTGTCCTTATAGCTTTTGTTCAAAAGGACTTTTTTACATATTTTGTATATCTATCTAGGTGGCAAGGATAGTTGGACAGAGTTTGAACGGCTCAGCTATAACGGGGAAACTAGCGTGGTTATTGCCAGACCACATACAGGTATGGGCAATAAATTTATTTATTTTGAAATTTTTTTAATTTCTCGGATTTTTTCAATCTCTTGAACTAATTTGAGAGAGTTGATATATTTGAATTTGGCGCTTTGCAAGTTCAACCAACCGCCAGGGGATCGGAAGACGCTAGTATCGGCTCTGCGCAGCCATTTTTATTTGCTAGTTGCGGGCAAGAGAGCAAAAAACGTGCATGAATTATGAAACATTAAAAATATGATTTTTTCCTTGAATATCAATGCATCTGTGTTTTTTTCAGGACGGATGCATCAGATCCGAGTGCATTTTCAGTATCTAGGTACAATTTTTTTTGTGTAACTATAACTACAATTCATTTATGATGCAATTAAGTTTTAAGCACAATTTATTAAGCATTCTTTAAAAAAATGGATAATTCATACAAAACTTAAAAAAAATTATGATTTTAATACAATGGTAAGGAACAAAAGATGAAATAAACTTTTAGGTTTGATTATAAAGAGAGCGCAACGGATTTTTAACTAAATTCATTTGAGGGGTTACTGACTTTTGATTTTTTAACCTCTATATTTAGTCTATATCTGACTAATTAAGCCGTATCCCTTGCTCTTCAAAGGAACAAAAGCGACCTATAAACGTGTCTGATTTGTCACGGTACCATTATAACTATTTATGTCAAGCTGTTATTTTGGTGATCGAAGTGTTTTTGGACAGAAATTTTCTCTTTATCGAGAAGATGAAAGCCTTTTAATATAACCTAAAAAGGCGAGAACCTTCATCGTATAGAGAAAGTTTAAGTCCAAAAACTGTATAGCATGTTGTGCCAAAATAATAGTGATATAGGTAATTTTTGAAACGTTTGTGTTCTTGTCTTATTTCAATGCTATTTCTATAGATCAAATAAGCTTTGAAACAAAGCAGAAGTAAAACAAATAAAGTTATTTTCAATTTTAATTGAAAATAAATATCTTGAAAATATCCCAAATTTTTGGGAGAAAATCCGGGAACTAATTAAAACTTTACAGCACACGTGCTATAATGCATAGCTAATAATTAACTTTATAGCACGATGATTACTTTATAGCACGTTTCTCATGAAATTCACAATGAAGTGAGTAAGAATGATAAAGTACACAATAGTTTCATAAAAAGCTTCGTAAGACCACGAGTGAAGGTTTATTTCTATAAAAAAAATGATTATTTCCAATTCTGCACTTGTGCAGTTTCTGCTTGTGATTTGCGCATTTCCGCTTGCAATACAAAATTGAGAAAATTATCCAGAATCACACACTTTTAAAGTCAAAAAAATTATATCATATCATTTGCTAGGAATCAAATTTATTATTTGACGATCCGAGTTGAATGTTGCAAATTTCTGAATTTGTATGAACGCTACGTTCTTTAGTATGAGTTGTTTTTAACAATTTTCTCCCTTTAGACGCAACAGATAGAAGTAAGCGATCGAAAGCGCTTATTTTGAGCCGTAAGCATATACGCCCTTTCATTTTTTGCGAATTATTACTAATTGTTCTTGTTCTTTAGGTCATCCTATAGTTAACGATCCTCTATACAACCACCCTGTGTTCGGAAATGAGAGGGGGAAATCCGGGAACTTCGGTAAGACGGAGGAAACCCTCATCTCGGAGCTTGTCAAGATACACAACACGGAGAACTGGTTAGGAGAGGACGGAGATTATGAGACAGAAATGGCAGAGGTACACTTAGTGATTTTTTTCTCATCCCTATATCTATAGTTTTTCTATCTATAAATAAAATAGCCAGTTTCAATTGCAGTTTCACAATTTAAGTGACTAGTGGGTTTCTTGCAGTAAATAAATTAAATTGGCAAAATTCATCACTTTTTTTTCTTACTTATATCGATAATCAAACAAGGATATAAATATAGTTGTGAATCGAGCACATAATTCTTTAGATAGAGGTTCCTTTGAAATTCGTCGCCGGTCCCTTTAAAGGGACTGTAAAGGAAAAATGAAAGGGGTATAGGAGCAAACCCGAGATTCTCAGGTTTCTGTAGGATATAGTCTTTTTTAGATTGGTTTCGTATTTGCTGAATATGATCTGTTTAAACCTACAAATTTTATTACAAATTGCATATATATATATATGAATTTTCGTATAAATTTGACAAAGTTTTATATTCATTTCTAAAGACAGGAAGATCAGATAGATGTCTTATTTGTATCGTTCAACGCCTGAGATTCTAAGGTTTCATCCTATACCCCTTTTTTATTTTTCCTTTACAGTCCCTTTAATATACCCCCTTTCATTTTTCCTTTACAGTCCCTTTAATATACCCCCTTTCATTTTTCCTTTACAGTCCCTTAAATATACCCCCTTTCATTTTTCCTTTACAGTCCCTTTAAGTTTCACATTCTTCATGCCTTTCCTTACCTTTCACTTATCCTTGGAGTAAATTTTACAATTTTCATTCGATAAGGATGGGTTGACCTTAATGAAGCTGAACGGGTCGGAGAACTCTGGGAACAGGTTCTCTGAGAGTTATCACAGGTCTCTTCGATCCGATCAGTCCAGGATTATTGTCTCTCCAGGTCCAGATAAGGTACACGGGGACCGAATTGAATGAATTTGAGCCACGTCGCTAAACTATGAACTGCCAGTGATTCAAAATTAAAGATTTGAATCGGTGATTCAAATTTGAACCAACAGATGGCAGTTTAGCGACCCTGCAAATTCATTAAATTAGGTCCTAGAACAATTTTATTGTTAAAATTTAAAAATTTAAATTAAAATGATCATATTTATGATAATTTTATATTCAAGGTTTTTTTTACGGACTCCGAAAACCCCCGGTTAATCCTTAACTAATCTCCCCTGTGGTTTATATAAAAACTTTTTTATTATAGTTCTTCTTTAGAAACATATCCAAATGTTAACTTCGTTTTATGCACAAACTTACAGTTTTGCTGAACCGTCAAAACTTTTATCATTAGATTATTTCTTCGAATATTTGTTAGTGGGACTCATAAAACTGTGGAATTAAAGGACGACTGTTAGATTCAAGTTATGATTGTAAAAAGTCCAATGATAATTAAAGAGAGAAATTGTGAAGTGTGAACGAACAAATTTTTATTAATAGTTGAATTTTTAGCTAATGGTAAAATTATTCGTTTTAAAACAACATCAATATATCGCGCACAAGATTGTTTTAATGTCGTCGTCTTCCTATTCCATATAATTTTATGGATTCCACTGTAACCAAGATTTGAAAACTATCAGCATAAGATATTTTGCACTGAGGCTGAATTTAAAGAATTTGAGCTGCGGGTTAAATTTGAAACCCGGGTCAAAAAAGGTTGGTTCCACTTAAAATTGTATTCAGTGTTTCAAGATTTAAGCCGGTGCTCAATTGAAAACGGTTTTGGGCGAATTTGAGACGAGGCTCTAATTCATTATAATTTCGGAATCTGGTAATCATACTATGTACAAAGTTGACAGAACTGTTACAGGCCTGCAGTCAGATTTTTCTCTTTCCTAAACACTTAAAAGAAAATTTTGTTTTTTAAAGGAAAAGTTGAAAATGGACACGGCGTGCTATGAATGCTCATTGAGTTACCGGGAACCAGGACCAGCTGATCTAGTCATGTTCCTCCACGCTCTCAGATATACGGTCAGCACCATTTTGAAGAAAAAAATTGAAAAATACGACATTTTGAAAAAATACGCCATTTTGAAAGAATGTGCCATTTTGGGAAAAGGCACACATTAAAAAAATTACCTATACCATCAAATCTTTTTATAATCATGATTGGACCAATTATTGTTTAATTCTGACAATTTCTTTCGTTGCTTTTAAAGCTTGGAATTGCATAATTCCCTTTGTAGAAAAACACAATAGAAAAATATTAATTTTTAAATAGTGCACATCTAAAAATGGAAAGTCACTTGACATTACGGTCCCTTCAAGTCATAACATATAATATTTTAATTATTTAATATAACAAATTATATTTTAGGGTCCGAATTGGAGTCATGAAACCTCTTTACCCTCATGGGCTGAACCGGATTGGAAATTATAACCTATAATACCTTAATTGTGTACAACCTGAGTTTTGTAATGTACGATCTTCGTCTTACACTGTCTCGTACATATCTTGTACATGTAAAAAACTATGTACATTTTACAACATGATTTAAAGAAGAGCACAAATTCGTCTTCCTGTGCAATATCAGGGTAAATATTATGTACATAAGAGCCATCCGTTGGCGTACATCAAAACACTTTATAAACATTATTTTGCAAGACCCATAGTTCTTTAAAAGTTGTTAAAGTTATTGTAGGTACTAGAGATGTCAACGATAGTGTAACGTAACGTAAAATGTACGTTTTTGTAAGTTACGTTACAATAATGTGTAACGTTTGGATATATTCTATATAACGTGAACGGTAAACGTTAACGTTATAGGAGCTCATACCTAACGTTAACGTTAAACGTTAACGTTAGAGGAATATACCCCCAACGTTAGCGTTTTGTGGAAATGTAACGTTATTTTTCTAATATCTACAACTTTTTTGACTATAACGTAAAGCAATGTTTTATTTCCAAGGGGAGCTTGAAAGTCTAACGTTTGAAAAATGAATTGTGATTTGATTGAATATCGTAACGAAAGGATTTCTATTTTAATTATTTTTGCTTTGTTTTACGATGTACACAAAGAGAACATGTTCACAATTAATTTAGAAGATGGGCGCGAAGCGCCCTATAAGGCTAGTATTAATATAAGTAATAAAAGCCTATCTTTTTACAGATAAAAATAAATAATAAACCCTCCATTAATGGCGTCGATGTTCAAACACAAACTGTACCTTAAAATTGTACCTTGTGAATCTTATTCTATTTTTAAGTATTTTAATCTACGGGTTACCCACAAAGGATGAAACTTTAATGACCCAAAACTACTTAACTTTATTGCAATTTAAGGATGAACTGGGATTTCTGCCCGAGTTAGTGAATCTATGTAAGAAATTCCTGGGAAAAAAGTTTCTTGAAAAAACCTGGAAATAAAAACTTTGGAAAAAAGTCCGAATTTTCTCAAGTCCTTGGGAAAAATGTCACTGGAAATAAAGTCCTGTGTTTTGGATTCCTGGGACTGTTTCCTTTTAATTAATAAAAGGACTTTTTTCCACAGGACTTTTTTAATGTGAAATTTTAGGACTTTTTTCCGGAAACTTTTTTTCCAAAGACTTTTTTAGCGGTTACCGAGTAAAGTACTCTTTCAATGGTATAATTAAATAATTGTTGGTAAATAAAGAAACATGTTCACTGCTGCAGAGAACCATGCATTTCATAAAGAAAACCGAATAAACTCTGTACAATCGTCTCTGAATTCTCCTTCGCTGTGGGCAGGGGCGTATTCAGAAATTTGTCCGGGGGGGGGGGCTTAATTTTTTTCTCTTTCCCTGAAATCAATAGATTTCACTGGTCCAGAGGGGGTCATAGCCCCCATAGCCCCCCCCCCCTAAATACAGGTCTGGCTGTGGGTAACCCTGTATTTAATGTTTTCAATAAAATCTCCCCGACTCCTTACTTCCTTTGAATGTTTAAATAATTAAAAAAAAAACTAATTCTGAAAACGTATCCACCCCCAAAGTAGGAGTTTTGAACGTCGAATTTGCGCTCAAACTCAGGATTTACAGATCTTAAAAAGTTTTATATGTCTCAAATGAATCCGAAAGAATTTTTCCACAACACTGCATTCTCAGTTCAACTAACTTACATAGCCGGTCACTCTCTTTAAGGATAAAACTATTAAAGTTCTCTTAAGGATAAAACTATTAAAGTGTCCAATAACTTAAACTATGAAAGATGTCTTAAAGGGAGTGACCGGCAATGTATAGTAGTTGAACTGAGAATGAAGTTTTGTGGAGAAATTTTTAGGAATCATTTAAGACCTATGAGACGTTTTTACGATGCATATTTGTTCAGCAAGAGCGCAAATTCAAGCTTTAAAATCCCCATAGATTGTTCATTTAGGAGGAATAATTTTGAAAATCAGTTTTTAAAAAATTAATCAATAACGACGAGGAAAAATGTGTTAAAAATTTTACATTAAACTAATTAGTTGTTTATGAACAGGTTGAGAAAATAAAATTAAACTATTATTATCGAATATAAGTAATCTTATTCAGTTATTGGTTTTTGTAATGTCTCATTGTTCACAAACATTTTCTGTAGATTTCCTGGAATTTTTTACTGAAAAGACAACAACTGAAAAATTTAAAGAAATATGAAAACAAATTTATAAAGAATAAGAAATTCAATATAATGATGAAAAATAAATAATTGATTCTATCATTGATTTATTGAGAACATTTTAATTGAGAAATATATGTTCCTAAACATCTAATTAGTTTACTCAAGAGAATTGGTTTTACATTTTTTGTCGTCGTTATATCATAATTTTGAAAATATCGATTCTCAAATGGATTATTTTGATCGTCGACTTTGCACTCAAACTCAGTAATTATACATCATTAAAACATTTTATATGTCTCAAATGTATCCTAAAAAGTTTCCACAAAACTACATCCTCAGTCAACTACCATATATTGCCGGTCACTCCCTTTAAGGATTGGGGAATGTAGAAATTTAAATGATGGGGGGGGGGGGGAAAAGAGAAGGGACAGGATTTACTGAAAATGGCCAAGTTAGACATTCCTCTCTCCTTTATACATTTGATTATCTAGTGTGCCAAGTTTGAGTACATTTATAATCTGGCTTATACCCTTCCTTAACCTTTTCATCTATCATCTACCCTCCCAGCTTCTCCAGCTTGTAAATTAAGGATAAGGGGGGGGGGGAGATATTTCTTTGGTCTTTTATTTTTATAATTAAAGGTGATACACTAGACAGTGTTTGTAGACATAGTTGGAGGTCGTTTTCAGTTCAGTTTTAGGTATCTGAGAGGTTGTGTAGGTGTAGGAGAGGTTGTGTAGGTATATGAGATGTTGTGTAGGTATCTGAGAGGTTGCGTAGGTGTAGGAGAGGTTGTGTAGGTCTGGTACCTGAGAGCTTGTGTAGGTGTAAGAGAGGTTGTGTAGTTGTGGGAGAGGTTGTGTAGGTATATGAGAGGTTGTGTAGGTGTAGGAGAGGTTGTATAGGTATATGAGAGGTTGTGTAGGTATCTGAGAGGTTGTGTAGGTGTAGGAGAGGTTGTGTATGTTTAGGAGAGGTTGTGTAGGTATATGAGAGGTTGTGTAGGTATATGAGAGGTTGTGTAGGTACATGAGAGGTTGTATAGGTATATGAGCTGAGAGGTTGTGGAGGTGTAAGAGAGGTTGTGTAGGTATATGGGAGGTTGTGTAGGTATCTGAGAGGTTGTGTAGGAGTAGGAGAGGTTGTGTAGGTATATAAGAGGTTGTGTATGTGTAGAAGAGGTTGTGTAGGTGTGGGAGATGATGTGTAGGTATATTAGAGGTTGTGTAGGTTATGAGGGGTTATATAGGTATATGAGAGGTTGTGTAGGTATCTGAGAGGTTGTGTTGGTGTATGAGAGATTGTGTAGGTGAAGGAGAGGTTGTGTAGGTATATGAGAGGTTGTGTAGGTTTATGAGAGGTTGTGTAGGTGTAGGAAAGGTTGTGTAGGTATATGAGGGGTTGTGTAGGTATATGAGAAGTTTTGTAGGTATATAAGGGGTTGTGTAGGTATATGAGGGGTTGTGTAGGTATATGAGAGGCTGTATAGGTGTATGAGGGGTTGTGAAGGTATATGAAGGGTTGTGTAGGTATATTTGGAGTTGTGTAGGTATATGAGGAATGATGTAGGTATATGAGAGGTTGTATAGGTGTATGAGGGGTTGTGAAGGTATATGAAGGGTTGTGTAGGTATATGAGGAGTTGTGTAGGTATATGAGGGGTTGTGTAGGTATATGTGGAGTTGTGTAGGTATATGAGGAATGATGTAGGTATATGAGAGGTTGTGTAGGTATATGAGAGGTTGTGTAGGTATATGAGAGGTTGTGTAGGTATATGAGGGGTTGTTTAGGTATATGAGGGGATATGTAGGTAAAGGAGAGGTTGTGTAGGTGTATGAGAGGTTGTTTAGGTATATGAGAGGTTGTGTAGGTACATGAGAGGTTGTATAGGTATATGAGGAATTATGTAGGTATATGAGAGGTTGTGTAGGTATATGAGGGGTTATGGAGGTTTATGAGAGGTTGTGAAGGTATATGAGAGGTTGTGTAGGTGTATGAGAGGTTGTGTAGGTATATGAGGGGTTGTTTAGATATATGATGAGGGTATGTGTAGGTGTATCACTCTAGTATGCCAAGTCCATTAGCGCCTGATCCAATCAGGGTTCAGCCATGTGTTTGGTGTCTATTCTGAACCAATAGAAATTGCATGGTGGTAACATTTATCTTTCTATCTATAGCTCATTATCCAATTAGAGATGAATCCTTATATCGGCGCTATAAAAGTAAATGGAAACATATACTTTTAGTAAACTATATATAGTGGTATGAGGGGTTGTGTAGGTTATAGGAGAGGTTGTGTAAGTATATGAGAGGTTGTCTAGGTGTATGAGAGGTTGTGTAGGTATCAGGGGTTGTGTGGGTAAAGGAGAGGTTGTGTAGGCATATGAGAGGTTGTGTAGGTGTATGAGAGGTTGTGTAGGTGTAGGAGAGGTTGTGTAGGTATATGAGAGGTTGTGTAGGTATCTGACGGGTTATGAAGGTTTATGAGAGGTTGTGTAGGTATTTGAGAGGTTGTGTAGGTATAGGAGAGGTTGTGCAGGTTGAGAGGTTATGTAGGTTTATGAGAGGTTGTGTAGGTATATGATTAGGGGTTGTGTAGGTTATAAGGTTTGCCCCGCCCCCCCTTTACACAAATGCTCTCGTACGCCCCTGGAGAGGTAATAAAGTTTCAATGTTTACTTTAAATCCAATTCCCCCCCCCCCTACCCCCTCTCAGAGAGGAGAGGTTAAATTATTAGTAAAATATTTAATTTCAGACAGTAGAGAGGACCCACACAAAGAATTTAATTGGGACAAGTTCACAAAAAAACCCCATGCCAAGTTTAAATACATTTGAATTCTTCTAGCAGTCAGTTTACGTTTAAATATCTTAAGGAGGGTTGTAAAATAATATCACGCATTTAAATGCGATAAATTGAAACTTAATGAAATTATGTTACAGTGATAACCAGAAAACGATGGAATAGAAAGACGACATTATAGCAATGTTTAACCCTATTCCTGCTGGGTAATTTTCTAAAATCTAGTTACCAATAATATAGCTCAAGCAAGAGTTGATTCCCTTCCCAAACCAAATTATAATCTTATTGTGTGTTACTCATTAAAAGTGGGTGCAGTGTGTTTGTCATTTTTAGTAGAAGGGTTTTTTTGAGTACTCAAAAATTCACTAAGATTGTCTCAATGTCTCAATGTCAATAAATAAACTCTTTTAAACAAAATATTAGAAATTTTATTTTTTATTTATCTTCATAATATCATGATGAGGCCAAGGGACAAGAAGCCTTGATTTTAAATAACGAATTTTTTCCTTAAGCTAAAGTACCATTCATTTATTTTTTATGTATATTGTATATGTAAACTGTAAAGTTTCAGACACTAAAATGTAACCCTTAAAAGCTTAAATACACTTGTTAAAAAGGTTAGTCTTTAAAGCGTACATTGGCAATGTAATAAAGAAAACCATATACCACCGTAAAAACAAACCAAGCATTGCTTTAAAAAAAAAATATAAAACTTCTTTGCACCCCCCCTGGAAAAATCCTGGTTACGGGTCTAGTGTCAGATTTTGATCAAATTTAGGTTTTTGAAAAGCCTTTAACATAAGGAAACGAATTGCACAAGTTTTGCAAAAAAAAATGCAAATTTTTTGCAAACAACCTGTCAAAGGAAATTTGCACATTTTTTGTTTTTCTTGATTAAAAATCAGGTTATTTAAAATTTTGCAAAATTTTTTGCATATTTAAAATGGTATGGTCAAGGGCTTTTCAAAAATGTATAATTTTTCATTTTTTGGACAAATTTTTTTTTGAAAACATTTTTACTATATAACTGGATTTTGCGATTAAAAAATTCAATTTTTGCAAATTTGCAATTTTTTTGCAGATTCTAAAAAAAGCACAAGAGCTTTCCAATGATGTATCATTTGTCATATTTAGATATCAAACATGGGATTTAGGGGGGTTGACCCCCCCCCCCAACATATCCTGGTTTTCAAGTACCCCAGCAGAGATAGGGTTAAACGGTTTAATGTTGTTACAAAGCAAATATTTTTTCTAGTATATTTAGCAAAGCACAATTTAAGTGAAAACTGTACAATTGCTATGCCTGATGTTCACTGTACATTGAACTAGTTTAATTGTCCTAACTTGAGTTTTAAAAGTCGAGTCTTTCTATTTCTCAGTTTTCTGGTTATCACTGCATATTATACAAAAAGACATATATAATGGTGTTATTATAGATATACGCACTTTATAATCGTGTTTTCTTTGACTAAGCAAAAATACACTTTAGCTGACTGTACAAATGTAATGTTCAGTGTGACGTATGATGATTATTTTTAACATTTTAATGGGAGAGGGGGTATTTTATAGATTACCAATTTCTTACAAAAGAAAGTCATCTATGTGCACAGTAACCTCCCCCCCTTGGCTTTCTGTACTCTAATCTAACTAGTTCTATCACACAGCTGACTAATACAAATACAGTATGACGTCACAGAGTATAATGTGTCACACCCCAAGTACTTGATACGGGTTTGATAGCGTTTATGCACAATTAAAGTGAGATATAGTTTGAATTTTATTAGTTCTTAAATCTTTTATAACGACTCAAATATTAGGTCTTATAGATTTTAAAAATTGTACAAAAAAATCTGATCATTTTAAGTTTTTCCTTGAACAAATATTGGTTACTTCACATTGAGAACTAAATCTGATTTGTACATCTAAAAAAATGCAAGAGCAAAAATTGGATTGGTTTGTAGGTTATTTACCTATATGCGCTTTAAGAAATATATGCTAAATGCCCATTTAAGTTTCTCCTATGGTCAGATTTAGATATACAGTTTTCAAACCATTTATAAAATCTTACAATCATGATAAACAGATTTGGTAATTCGTTTAGTAAATGTTTCTGTTGGATTTTTACTGAGAAATTTTATTTATGTGTTTTTGTAAAATATACACTGTACAAAAAAAATCATAATTTAGTGAGTAATAAATCTGTGAAAGAGTGAATCCCTCCATTCCCATGTTAATTGGGGTCTGTCCTAGAGAACGGTTTTTGGACAGACTAAGGGGCCGAGCGTCGCGGCTAAGGGCCCTGGCGCTGCGGCCACATGACCAATGATATTGTACAAAATTGAAAGGAGGGGGGGGGGGGGCAAAAATCGTTCTCTAGGAAATTACCGTTAATTGAGACTCGTGTTTTAAGAGAATTCTAGGTCAAACTTGATTGTATGAAGCTGATAATCATAAACATTGCAAGATGAATCCACAGGAGTCAGTTATACCACTCTCCCAACAGTTAATTGATTCTTCCCAAAATCTATCTTTCATAACCTCCCAAGAATCGAAAACCACGCCGTCCCAACAATTAACACCATGTTCCTTCCAAGATTTAACCCTTCCTTACCAAGAACCAACTACTGTGCCTTCCCAAGAACCAACTACCCTTCCCTTCACAGAACCAACCACCATACCTTCCCAAGAACCAACCACCATACTTTCCCAAGAACCACCTACACTTCCATTCCCAAAACCCACTACCCTACCCTCCAGAGAACCAACTACCCTTCCTCCCCACGAACCAACTACACTTCCTTCCAAAGAACCAACCACCCTTCCTTCCCAAGAACCAACTACCCTTCCTTCCCAAGAACCAACTACCTTTCCTTCCCAAGAACCAACTACCCTTCCTTCCCAAGAACCAACTACCCATCCTTCCCAAGAACCAACTACACCTCCTTCCAAAGAACCAACTACCCTTCCCTCCACAGAACCAACTACACTTCCTTCCCAAGAACCAACTACACTTCCTTCCAAAGAACCAACTACCCTTCCTTCCCAAGAACCAACTACACTTCCTTCCAAAGAACCAACTACACTTCCTTCCAAAGAACCAACTACCCTTCCCTCCCAGAAACCAACTACCTTTCCTTCCCAAGAACCAACTACCCTTCCCTCCACAGAACCAACTACCACTCCCTCCCAAAAACTAACTAACCCTCCTATAAAAGAACAAACTACCCTTTCCTCCCAAGAACCAACTATCCTACCTTCCCAAAAAATAATTACTCTTCCTTCCCAAAAGTTAGATGCAAACTCCAAGCTGCCGCCATCTCCCACCTCCCCTATTACAACTCCCTCTTTCTCCCAACGTTCAACTATGAGTTTCTCCCAAATACTCCCTCCCACTGAGGTAATAAACCCATTTGAGGGATTAACCACCTCAAAATCCCAAGACGAACCAGTCCCAAATCCTAGAATGCTTGTGAAACAGGGGTCTGGTCGGTTCCGAATTTATCCCGCAAACATTGAACCGAAACCAGAAATCCACGAAAACTTGAATGCAGTGAAAGCAACCCATCCAAGATTCAACGTAAAAGTAAACCAAAGAGCCTCTCTAATCCCAATCCTGGATAAATATTCCGAAACACACAAAGATGAACTCAACCCCAAGTCTAAATCTGTAAACAAGAAAAATACTTTTAAAAGTTGGATTTACAAGAAAGCTCCTAGTATATTAAAAGGTCAGGCTGAACATCATATGGTTATTGGTCCTCCGACTGAAACTGAGCATACACTAAACGTGATAAAGGTAAAATTATTCAACTTTTAATGTACATCATATATTAATACTTTTCTTCTATCAACAAAAATATAATTCACGATTTTTTTAGCTAAGAAGGGAATCCAATTAAAGAAAAAATAATGAAACATTAACATAGAACAAAAAGTTTCTTTTAAAATTTTTATATTATTTTTATTTTTAGGATGCTAGTGGGCACTTAATCGGACTACCAGAAGAGTGGAATTTAAATGGTCGACCTGAAGAATGGAAAACACAATTAGGAAACACAAAAATAGCGTTTTGATATTTTTCAAGTCATTTCAGTTTTTCGTTATAAAATTTCAGTGCACTGACACGTGTTGACGTATCGATTGTTTTTTTTTCTTTTATCACTTTATTAATTTCCAGATACGTCATAACAACATTTTATATTTTTAACCCAACTCAAATCATGAATAAATGCTTTTTGTTTCGTCAGACAAGAAGAAAAATGTCCTGAAAGAAATGGTGAAATTAAACACCCCAAATAGTCAGGAACCTATCATTTATTCATTCATTCCTTCAACCTTGTCATTCATTCACCCTTTATTCATTCATTCATTCATTCATCTATTCACTGTTAATCATGGGTTTGCAAAGAGGGGGGGGGGGGGAAGAATTACGAGTTTTTTGTTGTTGAAAATTTAGGATATTCAAAATGGGGATTACCACACCCTCCCTAGTTACACGCGCGCCTATCAAATTTTATTACTGATAGTTGTATATTCTTTAAAAAAGTAATTAATGTTTTTAACTTCTATAACTTTATAAGTATTTTGACAAAGTCGACATAATTTAATGAAACGATTCCGAGAAAAATGAAATATCGTTTTTCCTAATATCTGAATTAATACTTAACATTTCGCAGAAATTCACATATTTGAATTTACAAGCTTTAGATGATAGGTTATCAGGAAACATTTTACCAACAAGTGATTAACAAAAACCTTCTGAAGAAAGGAAAGAAAAAACAGCCGAGCCTTCAAATCGGTTCACCTTTCGACTTTAAGGAAGAATATTTTTTATATTAAAATGATAGTTCTGTATCATCAGAAAATCCGCAATTATTTGAAGAAAAAGTTGCGGAGTTTTTTAAAAGCTTTATTTGAGTGGAAATATGACTCTTTCTTAGAATATAGTTGTGTTCAGTCGCCGTTTCATACTTACCACAGACAATAGAACAATCTTTCTTTCCTTTTTTGTAAAAATTCCCTAATTTGATTTTTTTCTCTTAGCAGTTTCTTTTGATTGTTTCCAGATTATTTCGAGTGTTAAATTAAGACAATATTTTCCGTTGTTTCTGTAGCGAAAATCCGCATGTCACTTCTGTAGAGAATCCAAAATTAAAAATAATCAAGTTTTAATTTTAAAACCATAGATATTTTATAAATAGCATTCTTTAAATGTGGGGTCATCACAAATTATGTCTATAGTTCTTTCAATTGCGTTGACTCAAAATCTATTCTGTAGCATGAGTTCAAGGCCAAAATTGAAGCTGATGGAAGTATTACAGGTATACCTGACGACCTGAAACAGGACTTCAAGAAGGTTATGGAGTCTAACAAGGTGGAGAAGAACGAGGAGAACATCGTTAAGGCCGCCAACGTCGCCGAAACCAGTTTCAAACTCCGAAAGAAGAAAAAGACTGGGAAACTTATGAAAATTGACGAAACAAATGAAGCGCTGCCCAAACTAGATCGAAATATGACAAACGAGCAAATATTCGATCATTTGCGATCCTTGTGCAATCCTGATAGCTACGAAAACTTGTATAAAAAGGTAGAATGTGTGTGGCTTCGACAAATGCTTGGTTTCAGGTAAAAACTTCTTAAAATACTTTTTTTAACAATCCTTGCTTTTTTTCAGAATGCTTAATACAGCTTAGAATGGTTTAGAGTCGATAGAAAATGTTAATTTAGTTAATCAGTGCCATACATATCTAGTCAATTATTAATCATGTCGTCAGTTCTAAAATTTTTTAAATCTGACAAGAAGAAGAAGAGTTCGGGACATTATCTGGAGATTGCAGAGATTGGCATGCCAACCCAGGTATGATCAAGTAAGACTGCACAGACCAAATTTATGAAAAGCATCCAAGTGATGTGCATACGGTTAGGTCGTTTTTTTTCTCTTCTTTCACTTAGACAGACCTTGACCTTGAAATGTGCAAAAAAAACGAAAAAACAACGATGCAAAAACGAACATAATGTAACAATCGTCTATGGATCGTTTAAGCAAATTTTTTTAGTATAAAGAATAGATATTGCAAAGTTAAATAAACGCAAACTTGAACATAATACAGTTTTGAAATATTGGAAGTTTTATAAAAAAAAAATATTAAATTAGCTAAACCTCTTCTATTGAGCTTGAACAAATGCACGAAAAAAATTGGTTCAAATTAGTCTACTTAGTTCAATTACTTCTCGCTATTCATTGAATATGGTCCTAGGTGTTTATATTATATTTGAAAAAAATTATTCCCTTCTCTACCATAACATCAAAAACTATTTTCCCCATTATGTGTTAAAAAGATTTTTGAGCCAGAATTATTTAAGTTAAAGCCATCAAAAATAGAGAGAAAAAACTGACCAATGAAGTAAAATTATTTTTCCCCATACAATAAAAGAGAATACATTTTTCTATTCATTTCAGGTTTCTCACAATTTTTCCGGCAAAGTGAACCCAGACGGCAGTATCGCTGGTATCCCGGAATCCTGGAAGAAACGGCTTCAGCTGATGATAACGGCCGAAGAGGCCGAAAACCCCGAGATCGCCGAGAAGGCGGAGCAGATTATTAAATGGATCGATAACCGTCAGGGGGACAGCCAGGACTTTATGCGGGTCAACTCATCCCCTGGAAATAGTACAGTGCTCTCCAGTAATTCGTCAAATACGTCGGACGAAGGATTTCAGAGTATAAGTGACAACCTAGACAATTCGGACGTAGCCGAAGAGCTGAAGTGCCGTGACGGCGTGGAAACTGAAGCGCCGACTTTACGGAGAAAGAAAAATACGCGGCAAGGGCCACGGGTTACGAGAAATCTAAGTGATGATGCAGTTTTGGCTGAATTACAAGACATTTGCCAGGGATTTCTACCTTGGGAGACATATGATAAGGTCTGTGCTTGTCACGTCGCTCAAAAATGTGTTAAATAATATTTTAAATGATTAAATTTCATGACCTACAACATTAAGATGTAATTTTAAGTGACCACTGACCATCTATTTATAAAAATGGCATGTTCAATTCATAACGGCACCCTTTAAACCTATGTCTGATCAAGATTAAATTAAATATCTTTGAAAAGTTTTTTATTTTTAAAATCGGTTTATCTATAAAAGTAACATCTAACGGATTAGATAGAGAAACGGCGATATCTCCTTCATTCTTACTAGTTTAAAGGATACCGCTCCTTCATTGTTACTAGTTTATTAAAGGATACCGCTCCTTTATTGTTACTAGTTTATTAAAGGATACCGCTCCTTTATTGTTACTAGTTTATTAAAGGATACCGCTCCTTAATTGTTACTAGTTTAAAGGGTACCGTTGTGAATTGGACATTTCACTCATTTAATGGATGGACCGTTGAAATTACGTCTACAGTCCCAATAATTTTTGATTGATACAAATAAACTTTTCCCTCTTTTTGCACTATTTCTCTAAAGATTAAGTGGTCAATATTTAAACTCAATTCGTAACAAAACCTTCCTTTGATTTTTCTTTAAAATTTGTTTTGTGATGATTTTTTATACTCGGTTAATTTTATAAACTTCTGAAATATTAACTTATTTGAATTTTATTTTATTGTTTAGATTCTACAGCTTAAAAACTTTGGACGGAAGACTTAAAAAGTGAAATTTTAAATTGTTTGACTTAATTGTGAACTTAAAGCTTTATTACTCTGATTCGGTATTTTAAAAAGTAATTATTTTGTATTTATTGGGTTTAAGTTCCCACTTATGGCTTGCTTGTTCTTAGCCTTAATCTGTCCTGTTAAAAAATCTTGGAGAAAAACTCCTGGATTATCAATGAAATATTTTGCAGATTTCACATTTTTTCATTCTAGGATCGGTTATTGGGCTCAGGCGCTTCCGGTGTTGTTCATCTGGCGACCCATAAGGAGACTGGGGAGCAGGTGGCCGTCAAGGATATCGACCTGAGCAAGCAGAACAAGAAGGATCTCATCCTCATGGAGATCCGGGTCATGAAGGAACTACAGCATCCAAATCTGGTCAATTTCAAAGAGGTGAAAAATATATTTAGAAATTTTTTCATTTCAAATCGATCAATCAATGGTATTTGATCTTTAAAAAACCAAGACCACTGACGGGGTTAAGCGCTAACAAGCAACTATAAATTAAGTTATGTAAGTACAACTAGGGGGCTAGGTAGTCGCAATGCGAAGCCTATTAATATTGTAGTTCAATTTTTTTATCTCATTCAAAAATTTTGTTAATTGGGGCGTTTGTATCCTTTATGGTCTATTTTAGAATTGACATTATTGATTGATTTTTTTCCCAGGCGTTCTTGGTGGAGATGCACTTGTTCGTCGTGATGGAGTACATGGCAGGCGGAGCACTAACGGATGTTGTGACTGAGACAGTTATGAAGGAGACGTACATCGCCACGGTGCTCCTGGAGACCCTCAAAGGGATCCATTATTTACACTCCAAGGGAATACTGCATAGAGATATCAAGGTAATTAAAGGGCACAAGCATATATTTAGTATGATAATATCCTGCTTGATATATCTGATAGTTCTATATTTAGTCTGATAATATCCTACTGGATATATCTGATAGTTCTATATTTAGTCTGATAATATCCTACTGGATATATCTGATAGTTCTATATTTAGTCTGATAATATCCTACTGGATATGTCTGGTCGGGTAAAAATAACAGATTTTGGATTCTGCGCAAACGATGAAGTTCGAACTACAATGGTTGGAACACCGTACTGGATGGCACCAGAGGTCAGTATAAAAATTTGTACTGTTGTACAGTTGTACTCTTGTATAGCTGTACTGTTGTACTGTTGTACAGTTGTACAGTTGTACTGTTTTACAGCTGTACTGTTGTAAAGTTGTACTGTTGTACAGTTGTAATGTGTACAGTGGTACAATTGCACTATTTACATTTTACTACACACTTGACCAATGTATATTATTGCTGTGAATAATATTGTTTTGTTATTATTATTGAAATTTATTGATATTAAGTTTGATATTATTAGTATTTTTGTTCTTGTTATTGTTATGCCTGTGTATAACCAGGTTGGTAATGCTAATATTAATATTATCATCATCATTATTAACATAATTATTGTTATTGTTATTGTTATGAATGTATATAACTAGGTTGGTATTGCTAATATTAATACTATCATCATCATTATTAACATTATAATTATTATTATTGTTATTGTTATGAATGTGTATAACCAGGTTGTGAACCGGAAGCACTATGGGAAGAAGGTAGATATCTGGAGTCTAGGAATCATGGCTATAGAGATGAAAGACGGTGAACCACCGTACATGACGGAGGCGCCTTTGCGCGCGCTCTGGCTGATCGCGCAGAACGGTCGACCCACCATTGCTTCCAGGGAGAATATGAGCGCGCAATTCCAGGATTTTATTGATAAGTGTCTCGAGGTAATTATTAATTAAACAAGTGGAAGAGGAGTAGAAGTGGTTTAGAAGTGGTTTAGAAGTGGTTTAGAAGTGGTTTAGAAGTGGTTTAGAGGTGGTTAAGAGGAGGTTTAGAAGTGGTTCAGAAGTGGTTCAGAAGTGGTTTAGAAGTGGTTTAGAAGTGGTTCAGAAGTGGTTCAGAAGTGGTTCAGAAGTGGTTTAGAAGTGGTTCAAAAGTGGTTCAGAAGTGGTTTAGAAGTGGTTTAGAAGTGGTTTAGAAGTGGTTTAGAAGTGGTTTAGAAGTGGTTTAGAAGTGGTTTAGTAGTGGTTTAGAAGTGGTTTAGAAGTGGTTTAGAAGTGGTTTAGAAGTGGTTTAGTAGTGGTTTAGAAGTGGTTTAGAAGTGGTTTAGAAGTGAAGAGATAAAGAAGATGGGCGCAAACAAGAAACTCTGTAAAGTTTAAAGAGTGTAGCGGGTCTTTGTAATGTCTACTTTCCAGCTAGCTGGCAGCTAGAATTTTCAGCGCCGGGTCGCAGATGACCAAAAATAACTACAAAATCATTTTCAAATGCGATTTTTTTGTTTGGACTAGTTTCATTTTAACCAATATTAGGTAGAAATGAATTCGCAAGGTTTTATTGCAAATATTGAGAGTTCTAGAATTCAAAATGTAGGTGGGAACCTTGTTTTATGTACACCCTTTAAATTAACCACATTTTCTTCATGTTCAGGTTGATGTAGAGAAAAGGTGGAGTGCTGAGGAACTGCTATCCCATCCCTTCCTTGTAGCTACAGTAGACTGTAGCAAGCTAGTTCCATTAATAAAAGCTGCAAAATCTGTTCTAAGCAAACCTTAAATCAATATTAGCTGTTCTTAGTTTCTTTCAGATTTCTTGAACCTTTTTCAAAACATACTAAACCTCTTGCAGGACTCGTTCCCAAATCTCTGGAACATATTCAGAACTTCCTAAACCTTCTAAACCTTTCCTTCATTTTCCTAAACCTTCCCCAAACCTCCTTAAACAGTTCTGAACGTTCTAAGCCTTCCCTAGACAGCCCAAACCTTCCTTCAACCTCCTAAATCTTCTTCAGATCTCCTTAAACAGTTCTGAACTTTCTAAACCTTCCCTAGACCGCCCAAACCTTCATTGAACCTCTTAAATCTTACCTAAAGATTAATTCACGAGTTTACATGGAATTTAAACCAAAACTGGAAAACCTCTAACTTTCAATGTACATGTACAATACACACAGTTTACATGTACATTGTTTTATGAACAATGAACATTCATACTGTCATCAATTAGATTAGAATTGTAAATAAGATTTTGTATTAACTACGTCTAATTTTAAAAGCCTCGTCCCCCTACCCCCCGCTGTAAGCTTGTTACACGTACACCGCTCCTAAATTATGTTGGGAACTGATGCTGAAACTAAATGTCGTCTTTTTTTACCATCGATTAACTAGGTTCAAATAACTTCGGGAGCGGTGTATTTTCCTTTTTTTAAAATCCTTTTTCATCACATTTTTAATGAAATTCTTCCATTAAGTAATATTCAAAGTTTTTTCTGCTTTTATCATGAAACTATTTCTGATCTCTCTTAAAACCTTTGAAAAAAATGGGAAACTGCTTAAAACAGGGAATAATAAATTTTTCTCTCACCGCTGATCTTTAATAAAGAAAAAGAATTTTTTTTACTTCTTGAAGGAACTGATTGAAATTTTTAGTTGGAATCTTTTGATTAATCGTACGTTTGGATTGAATTGTACAGTTCTCTGAAATATTGAAACCTCTCTTTGGACCAAAAAGTAAAAATATCATAATAACATGAATTTAAAAATATTGAAATGTATACATTAAATGTCGTTCCCTTGCCCTTGTATAGTGAAGGAAACAACTGGTGATTTAAACTTAAGATATTTGATAATAAACTATGCATGGTATCAATAAACAGTACAGTACAGTACAGTACAGTACAGTAAACCCAATTATATTTTGTTGATTTATGTCTTTAAAGTTACTTATTTTGACAGTCCTGCTTAATTGTACCTTCTTGTACAACTATATGTTCACGTACAATTACAGTGCATGTACATTGCACATTGTTCCAGCCCATGATTTAGCTTGAGATTACATGTACTTTGTAACTGTACAATCTTGAACTATTGTGTACTTTAGAATTATTGAAAGAAGTGAGCTTAATTATGTGATTTTGTTTCTTTTTACGCATTTTTGTATTTGTTATATTATGCACACTGTTTCGTGCTTATTTGACGCATTTTCTACGCATTTGTAATCAAAATTAACTAAATTTATTTGAAGTAAACAATGTTATAAATCAAATTTTTTATTTTATATCTTATTGTTTTAAGCAGAGCAAGGTCAAAGGGCGCTTCGGGCTGATCTGCCTGTAAGCCTATACGTACAGCATTATTCACAAAAGATGGGATTCAGAAGTACTTGATATTCAAGATTCCCTTAAACTTGCAACTTTAAACTTGTTTCCTTATTTGCCAAATCATTTAACGAGCCCCTAAAAGACAAAAGCCTTAATTTAACCTTGGGCTTTCAGATTTTCCTTTCAGTCTCATCCTTTGTGGGTAACCGTGTATATTTTGAAAAAAGAACTTATAAATTTCGTATATTTTTCTTTTTTCAATTGGCGGAGCTAAAATTTTTTAGAAAATCAAAATAATTTTCAGGGCTTTTAAAATCTGATGGCCAAACACTTTCTTGGGCTAGAGGTCAGAACTTTTGTATGAAGTATCGTCAATCTTGAACACTTATCTGAAAATTCTATGTTGGCTAATTTAGATTTGAGGATAAATGCCTCTTTATTTACATTATCTCTGCAGACTATGATCACGACAGGATTTCATAGAGGAATTAAATCAATCAATCTACATAAGTGACTTGATCCCGAGATTCAAAAGTTCTGACTTCGGGATATAAAAGTTACCACAAAAAATATGTGACTGATCGGTTCATCCAACTCGTTAAATATAAACAAACAGACAAGCCAAATTTATATATTTAGATTAAGTTTATATGTATTGAGAACCAGATAACTGTGGAATAGGAAGACGACTTAAAGGCTCAAGTTATGATCTTAAATAGTCCAAAGAGCATAAGACGCAACAATTGTGCAGTGTACATGTTGTACATAGACGAATTTTACAAAAGATAGAAAAACTATTTGCTTTGTTACTGCAACCTTCATCAGTCATTCTATTCCACAGTTGTCTGGATATCACTTGGTACATGTTAAGAATTGAGAAATTAAGAAATAAAAATTAATGAAAAAATACTTAGGAGGGAGAAAAAAATGTCGAATAATTCTCAAGAAGGATGCTAATTAAAAGCAAATGATTGAGACAAAAGATCATTTTCAGAGCTGCATAAAAATGGTTTTGTGAAGAATTGGATTGAAGGAATTGAAGGCGATTTTTGCAAATAAATTCTAGTACAATAGATGGCAACGTTATAAAATTTGACTCTCAGTACGAGGGAGGGAACTCCCGGACGCCATGAGCCTCCGTTATGCAGACATGAGCCTCCGCTTTGCAGAATTGAGCATGCGCAACACATCAAAATGTGCCTGTGTAATACAGGAGGTATTTTTTAACTTGTGCTTAAAGTTTAAATAAAAGATTTTTTTGAAATTTTCAGACATAGTGGCATGAGAGGCTTCTCAAAGATGAGAAGTATTTATTAATTATCATAAATAGTGCCTAATTATGATTAATAAAGTGGTATCTAAAACTTAAAACATTTTTTACGCGAAAAGGAAAATATTTAGAAAAAAAATTAAATTGAATTTTATTTCATCTTTTATAACCTTTGATTTTATCGATACCTTTTTTGAAGTTTAAATTAAATCTAAAAAATTTGTTTTTATTATTTAAATCTTAACATTTTTAAAAAAAGGTATTGTTTAAATCAAAGATTACAACGAAACAAACCAAGTTTACTCCAGAAATATTTCTCCAAATATCTTCCTTTCTGCGTAAGAAATGTTTAAAGTTTTAATATAGTCCACTCCATATATGTTTCTAATCATGACAATCAATGAACAACTCTAATCTTTAGTAAAATTCTTATGCCACTATGTCAAAAAAAAATTGTTAAAAGTTTTCATCACTTATAAAAACCAAGATTTAAAAAAGCTGTGCTGTATGGTGGCGGCTCGTTCACAGCATAGCGGAGGCACTGTCTGCATATAGTGTAGGCTTTGTCTGCATAGTGGAGGCTCAGTCTGCCTAGCAAATCTGGGAGGCTCAATGTCTGCATAGTGCATAGCAGAGGCTCATGGCGTCCGGGGGTTCCCTCCCTATCAGTACAGCTGTATTCGTACGTCACAATTGTGTTAACTTACTAATTCTTATAAGTTTTTGTGTCCGACAAAATTATTAATAACAGTGATAATTTTTAAATAAAGTGCTTATCTTATAGCAAAATAAGTGCGATTTTATGTTTTCTTTATTTTCTTGTTTTACACCATTTCAATCTTGGAAAACATGTCAACAATTATTTGTGAGAAAATTTCGTTTTCCTTGTCATATTTGACACTTGTGACGTCATGTATAATTATTCCATTTCTCTGTTGCCACATATTGTACTTTCTATTTGGATTTTTGTAAAATTTTTATAATTAAGACTTCCTAACATGACAATTTAAAGTCAACCTAAAAAGGATAATGATTAATAATTGCATTTTTTAAAGTAAATATATTGTGCGACTGAACAATTATTGTTCAATCAAACTAAAATTCACATGGAAGGGTTTTAAGCAGTGGAGAACTATTTTTTTTAATTCAAGCGTAATTCGGTTCATTTAATTAATTAGCTCCATTGAACATATTGGAAATGAACAAAAAATGTTTAATTGAACTAAAGCTGAAAGTGTCGGTAAAATTTCTTTAATTACCCATAAATTATAGCTATAGTACAATGTTAACAATATTTTAGTGCAAACACACACAAAAATTTGTGTTCAGGGAGATGTTCATTTGCAATAACGTTCAATTGGACTTATAGGTATACAGGGGGAAAAAATTAGTTCGTTTGAAATATTTTTTTGTTGGAAATGTTTATTTGCACTTATAACGTTCAATTGCACTAATATTTGCAGAAAAAAATAATTATAGTCCGTTTGAAGAATTTTTTTGTTGAACATGTTCATTTGCACTAATATTTACAACCCTGCAAACATTTAGTCTCCGACAAACTGATCCGGTGAACAAGCGAGTTCGTTTCCTGGGAGTGCGATGGAACAAATATTTTTAGTCTTCCAGATTAATTGCACTAATAATCATAATTGTACTAAAATATTCCTGGCGGAAAATAAAAATTTAGTCCAATTGAGCACGTACAGTATAAAGAGCTCGAATTTGTCCGATTTGCACTAATGTTTGATCGTACTATGAACCGGATAGCTTGTATATACGTTAGAATTTCGGACAATTATGTGCAATTTCGCGGAAAGCATGCATTATAAAAATATTTCTCCGATTATAAGTATGATCGTAATTTCTGGTCAAAAAATAAAATATGATATGAGGATAAAAAGGAGAATTATTACCACAAATAATTAAATTGGATCCAATTAGTTTGAACTGAAAGAAGAACTGAAGAAAAAAGAAAAATCCAAAATGTAATGGTAAAATTATTTTTTAATTTACCCCTGTTCTAAATTTTGCAATATTTAGCCCTTTAACCGGTTTGTCCCTATCTATCTATCTATCTACGTCTGTCCATTTAAATACACCCACCGGGTCCGGTTACTACCTTGCAGGCTTGCTTCCCATTTTCTTGAATACACACACGCCGCACAGTACAGTCTCACGCACGCCTTTGCGCGCATATTAACCTCTCTTTTCCGGGGTGCACGATCACGAAACCGGCATCAAATCAAGCCTGCGGGCCGGCGCGCGTTATCATGAACTAACTCAAGCGCGTTCACTTCATTTTTCTATAAATCTAGCTTAGTGATGTTCTTCAGTCTTTAACTTGGTGCCAAGACAAAGATTGAGAGACTATTATTTTTTCAAATTTTTTTTATTCTTCAATGATAATGAGGGATTGTTATGAAGGATTAAGATTAAGGTGGGTTTATAGCTGGGTTAATAAAAAAGTTTCTCTTTTGAAGTTTGACATTCGCTAGTTGCTTACTGCAGGCCAGGTTGAGATAGAAGAATAAAATCGTATATTAGGAAATTACCCATTGCTTACAAGACCTAATCCTGATAAAGTACTAATAATTATTTTATAAAACTGTCTGTTCAGCTCATGTATAAAATGGATAAGAGGGGTCCTAAATCTATATTTATAGATGATAAACTTGTATATTAGAGAGAGTTTGCGAAATGTAAATAAGTAAGATAAACCATACTTTAATTATATTGTGTGGCACTATTTTATGGCCCTTTAATCAATTTTGTACTGCAGTATTATTTCAGGGTTGGGTTAGGTTAGGTTAGGTTATGGCAATTTCAATGCCTAGTGCTGCGGGCTAGGGCAGGCTAGGGGTTCAAGCGCTGCGGCCTGCATGTCCAACTTCCCATGTGTTACATAGGATATATCCAAAAATTATTTTTTTTTTTGGGGGGGGGGGGCCATTCCCCCCCCCCCACCTATAATTTTCCAATCATTCATTATGAAAATATCCTTATATCCGACGTATCTGTTAAGTGTAATTGTCAATTATGTATTTTAAAACAGATAATTTTTTAATAATATTTTTTGCCTGCCTTATCATATTCTTGCATTAATGTTGATTGTGCAAAACCTGTTCTTAATCTTTTACTCGCATGATGACACAAAATTTTCTGCATTTTTACGGAATTTTTATTTTTGAACATAATGAAGTCTAATGGTTCAAATTCCAAGATCAATTTAAATAAAGAAATGAAATAAAAAACTGCCCGTTTGTTTTTTATTTAATTATTTATGATATGTACGTGAAACTTCTCAAAATAAATCAATCTCCCAGCTCCAAGGGGGAGGGGGGGGGAGAATTCTGAAAAATATAAACCCTGAAATGTGAAGTGGTTTCATTAAAATGTCATTATTCAGGATTCACTCTGTGCGTATGACGACAGCTAGCAAGAGCGGTCATCCTACCTCCTGCTCTAGTATGGCGGAGATTATCTCTGTTCTATTCTTCAAGGTCATGAAATACAAGGTTGCCGAACCTAAAGCAGCTTCCAATGATAGGCAAGTTTCTTTTTAATGTTCAAAAGGAAATTAGTATTATTGAAGTCTTTTTAGTAACTGTCCAAATTTAACTTGAAATAATACATACTAAAAATAATTATATTCTCTGCGTTTTTATTTATTGGTAAAGGGGGGATTGGATTTTTCGAGAAAAAGGTTTCAAGTTTCAAGAAAAGCAAGTCATGTCAGTTACATTCTAATTTTTGAATCCTTATAATTTAACAATCAGACTGCCAAGATATTGAGATAAGAATGTCGAGTTTGAGAAGAGTTATCACCGATCAGTTCCTTTATTTGATTTTTTCTGAATTTCTGTCAGTTTTTATTTCTTCATTAATCCAGGTTTATCCTGTCGAAAGGACATGCAGCCCCCATCCTCTACGCTGCTTGGGCCGAGGCTGGTCTCTTCCCAGCCTCCGACCTTCTCAACCTCCGTAAGATCAACTCCGACCTCGAAGGACACCCAACCCCGAGGCTGAATTTTATCGACGTAGCGACTGGGTCTCTTGGTCAGGGGTTGAGTGTGGCGTGCGGGATGGCGTATGTCGCAAAACATTTCGATAATGTAAGATTTAACAAATTTTATGAAACTTCTTAATATCTTATTTCTCTTCCATGGTTTTCTTCATAAGATTGTTTTTGAAAAAGCCCTATTTCAAGTTTAAAAACAGCCACTGCACGTTTACATATTAAAGATTTAAATCATATTACGATGATTAGAATTTCAAATTAATGAAATTTTTCACATTGAAAAGTTGTTAAGGTTAAATTATTTATTATATGCGCAGGCAAGTTACAGAACCTACTGCCTCATGGGGGACGGAGAGTCCATGGAAGGGAACATCTGGGAGGCTCTCAACTTCGCCGGGTTCTACAAGCTTGACAACCTTGTTGCCATCATCGACGCAAACCGTCTGGGACAATCCGAACCCGCCCCTCTCCAGCACGATATGGAAACCTACAAGAAGCGTCTTCAATCCTTCGGATTCAACGCCATCGTTGTCGACGGGCATGATGTGGAGGAATTGTGTAAAGCGTTTTACGAGGCTGAGACCACCAAGGGAATGCCTACTTGTATTATTGCCAAGACCTTCAAAGGAAAGGACTTCCCTGACATTGAGAACGTGTTGAACTGGCACGGAAAGGCTCTGGGCGACAAAACTGATGCAATGATCTCCCATCTAGAAGGACTACTCAAGAATCCCGGGGCGGAAAATCTTCCAATCAGCGCACCGGTCAATGACGCCCCAGTCGTTGATATCTCCGGAGTTGCACTCTCCGCTCCTCCATCCTACGCCAAGGGGCAGACTTTGGCAACCCGAGAAGCGTATGGCAATGCATTGGCAAAGCTTGCCACCTCTCATAGCCGAGTTGTTGCCCTGGACGGAGATATGAAGAATTCTACTTTCTCACAGAGTATTCTTAAAGTTGACCCTAACAGGTGAAATATCAGAGATACAAATATTTTGAATTTTTTGCAAAAAAAAACATATGTTTTTACAAAGTCCCATCTCTCATTAGAGATAATTAATTTAACCTTTTTTATGATTTTTGTTTTTTATTTGAACTAAATCATTGAGAAAATGATTTATCATTTCAGTGAACATTTTTTATTGTGCAAATTGAAACAATAACAAAAAAGTTTCGCAAATTTTATAATATTTTTTCGTGGTTTTTCAAAATCTTATAAAAATCGGATTTCTAAGACAAATTTTGGTTTATTTTGAGGATCCATATACGAAGATTCACATATTATTATTTTAAGGTTTATCGAGTGCTTCATCTGCGAGCAGAACATGATCGGTGTTGGTATCGGAGTAGCGTGTAGGGATAGAACCGTCGCCTTCGCCTCTACCTTCGCTGCATTCCTAACCAGGGCCTTTGACAACCTTAGGATGGGAGTTATCTCGCAAACCAATCTGAATGTCGTCGGATCTCATGCAGGTTGAAGATTTTTGATAAATTATTTTACAATTTATAGCTTGTTTCAGGAGGGGTGTATATTTTTCAGAATCGTTGAGGATTTGGGGGGAAAATGTACATTTTTACATAAATTTTCCCATAAAAAATTATTTATTTTCCACAATTTCAAAGAATTAAACCCCCCAATTTTTTTTTTCTAACTTGTGGCGAAAAATGATTTTTAAGGGGTGCATGGGGGGGGGGGGAAGGATTTAAAAAGATGTTTTCGGTATTACAGAAAATAAAGAAAATCATTGGAGTAAAATCAAATCGAACTTTGATGAAAACAATATAATGTTTAAAGCTGTATCCGGATCTGTATCAAATTGCATTTGGATCGTAAATTGCAGCGAGTAATATGATCTGATGATCTAGGAATATCTATTGGTGAAGATGGGCCATCCCAGATGGCGCTGGAAGATCTTGCCATGTTCCAATCTCTTCCTGGTAAGCTTATAATTCATTCGTTTGAAGTTAAATTATTATAGCTTTTTGTCAAAATATTACACTTGGAGTACTGTTACTATAGGTTAACTTATCTTTTTATCTGCTACATTTGCTTGGTGATGTGGAAATACACAATTGGAGCGTCTCTGCCATTTCGTAACTATACTAACTTTGACTCATTAAGAATCAGTTCCTTTGATATGGTTTCAATTTATGATTTTATTTGATCAGGATGCACCGTATTTTATCCTTCTGATGCTGTCTCCACGGAGCGCGCAACCGAGCTCGCCGCAAACACGCGCGGGGTTTGTTTCATCCGAGTGGGTCGCCCTGTCGTTCCGATCGTTTACGAGAACAGCGAGCAGTTTCAGATTGGAAAGGCCAAGGTGGTCCGACAGTCTGATAGCGACAAGGTTCTGGTCATCGCTGCCGGGATAACATTGTTCGAAGCTCTCAAAGCCGCGGATACACTCGCAGCTCAGGTTATAAACAAGAAATAAAAGAACTGGTCGCCCAAGGGTGTATTACACTTCCTCAATCATAAAACTGAGGAATATTAACATCCCTCACATTTTGAAGTTATGCATTGAGAAAATCTTTAAATATTTTGTTGATACATGTTAATATTATCTAATATACAATTGTGGTTACAAGATAGAAGATAGAAAGATAGCTACCGGAAGTTTAAATACCGGAAATTTCAGTTTATCAAAATTTACAATATTTTACAATTCATGTTCAGTCTGAAATAAAAAATCGAGTTTAGTTGATGTCATAAAACATGCAGTTTAGTTAATGTCATAAAACATGGAGTTTAGCTAATGTTAAAACATCGAGTTTAGTTCATGTCATAAAACATCGAGTTTAGTTTAGACGAAAGATTTTAAATTGAATCCAAGGAAATAAAGTATTAGATCTTGAATATATTATAGAATACATGTTGAATGTTGCTATATTTGTTTGATATGATCATTAAAATTTTTTTTTTCAGGGAGTCAATGTTCGAGTTCTTGATCCCTTCACCATCAAGCCCATTGACGTGCAAGCAGTCCAGGAGAATGCAGCAGCCTGTGGAGGTCGTATCATCACCGTCGAAGATCATTACCCTGAGGGCGGTCTCGGTGACGCTGTTCTCGCCGCAGTTGCGACCTGCCGTAATGTGATTGTGCAAAAGTTGGCTGTTAACAGCGTGCCCAGATCCGGCCCGCCAGCCAAATTACTCGAGATGTTCGGCATTTCGGCCAACCACATCGTCCGCGCCTGTAACGACATTCAGAAGCTTTAAATATTGGATCATAAAGATCTTGTTGCACATGTTGATAATAACTTATAACTATGAATGTAATTTTAGCCGACGCGTATCACTGACTACGATCGTTCCAGTGATTAATTCCGTCCGTAGCTTACCGAGCATTTTTAGTTTATTCACGCATTTGTACAACGCATCTAAATTTAGAAATTAATCTATTTACACATAATTGTGATTTCATCCCGGAACATTCCTAAAGCATTTATATTTTATTCTAAATTATATGAATTTTCTAAAAAAATAAATAAATATATATTTCTTATATTCGACGAATTAATATTTCAGAAAAAAATGAAGACGTCTAAATTCCACTACTATCTATATGAAGTTTAGTAGGCTTAGTATGACTAATTTCTATTAATGAATGATTAGTAACGCAATAAATCATTACACTTGTGTTAGTGACTATATGTAGGTTGGACTACAAGGATAAAAAAACTAATAATTTAAGTGAGAAGCTAGACATGGATAGATTTTCTCTTTTACTATTGGAACCGGGCGAGATTTATTTCGAGGATTTTAAGGTGTTTCTTAATTAAAATATTTTTAAAATGAAGAATTTTAAGTACCCGTCCTTCAATAGATGGCAATGCATGCCGATTTACCTCTAAAAATTTGTCTGATATCCATGTTTTTGTTTCTTAAATTGTTTATTCCATTGTGGGTTCTCTGCGAAAGTGATATTTGCATTTCTTTATGGCTCATAAAAAGCAACAGAGAAAGTATAAGAATTTAACACTAAAGAGTAAGAGAAACTAAGGTATCTGCCACATTTTGAATCAGCTTAATGTCCAAGGGTACCGTTGTAAATAGGGCATTGCCATCTTTTCAAGGAGTGCTGCTTAAAATTACGCTTATATTCCCTTTAAAGGTTTAATTAGGGCCTAGACAGTATGGAACTTAATTCTCATAACCAGATGGCATTAGTTCGAGAATTGTGTAATTGCGACTTTTCTATTAACTTGTGGATTTCTACAGAACCTCGATTTTTAACCATACTGTCGTGATCATGTACGTGATGTAATTTTGATAAAAGTTCAGGACTTCAATTGCTGGAAGTGACTGAAGGGGTGTATAGTTTTCAGAAATGTCGGAGACCTTAGTTATTTCAAACTATACATTCTGTTGAAATCATTTTCCTCTATTGTTCAGCGAATGAAACCCTATAAAAGCATAAAGAACTTCTGAGAGAGAAAAAACGATTTTTTGAGAAAATATACACCCTGGGACTGTTTACATAAACTGCGATATCCTCCTAATACTAGTTCTTTAGACAGAGAATTGAATAGACCCATTCTGATTCGGACATTCCAATCCGTCCAAATCAGAAACATTTCTGCTTTATTATATTTCATTAAGAGAATTTCTGATTTCCAAATCTCTAGGTCCTCTACCATATACGTCCTGAGGATAAACAACCACAGATACATAATGAGGTTCCAGGCAGACTCAAGGTAGGTCGGGTAGTTGGTTAGTTCAGGTAGCTGGTTAGGTCAGGTAGACTTAAGGTAGGTCGGGTAGCTGGGTAGTTCAGAAAGACTCAAGGTAGGTCGGGTAGCTGGGTAGTTCAGGAAGACTCAAGGTAGGTCGGGTTGCTGGGTAGTTCAGAAAGACTCAAGGTAGGTCAGGTAGACTCAAGGTAGGTCGGGTAGGTGGATAGTTCAGGTAAACTCAGGGTAGGTCGGGTAGCTTTGTAGTTCAGAAAGACTCAAGGTAGGTCATGTAGACTCAAGGTAGGTCGGGTAGCTGGGTAGTTCAGAAAGACTCAAGGTAGGTCGGGTTGCTGGGTAGTTCAGAAAGACTCAAGGCAGGTTGGGTAGCTGGGTAGTTCAGAAAGACTCAAGGTAGGTCGGGTAGCTGGGTAGTTCAGAAAGGCTCAAGGTCGGTCGGGTTGCTGGGTAGTTCAGGAAGACTCAAGGTAAGTCGGGTTGCTGGGTAGTTTAGGAAGACTCAAGGTAGGTCGGGTTGCTGGCTAGTTCAGGAAGACTCAAGGTAGGTCGGGTAGCTGGGTAGTTTAGAAAGACTCAAGGTAGGTCGGGTTGCTGGGTAGTTCAGGAAGACTCAAGGTAGGTCGGGTTGCTGGGTAGTTTAGGAAGACTCAAGGTAGGTCGGGTAGCTGGGTAGTTTAGGAAGACTCAAGGTAGGTCGGGTAGCTGGGTAGTTTAGGAAGACTTAAGGTAGGTCGGGTAGCTGGGTAGGTCAAGTAGACTTCGGGTGAATTAATTTTTCATTAAAATCCTATTTAAATATCGACATCATATAAAACATAGCTAAAGATGCTCATTGCTCATGGTTCGTCCTACAGTTACATTTGCTATAATACTTTTGCCATAAATACATTTGCTATAATACTTTTGCCATAAATACATTTGCCATAATTACATAAAAATATATAAAATTAAAAATAAAAATCCTTTGTGTTCATAGTGATTGAAAGTGAATCGTATATTACATTAAATTTTCCATTTTATTTGCAGGTGTGTTCCAAGTCTATAGTGTTTGTACCGTTTAGCCAAGTACTGCCAATGCTGAAGTTTCCTCTGTCTGAATGTGATAGTATCGAGGAGTGGACTCCTAAATCCTTCCAGAGTGCACTAGCTTACAAACAAGAGGTTAGAACAAGCTCTTTTCTTTTTCTTGAAATATATGAGAATTTTTTAAAGGGACTGTAAGCGTAATTTTAAGCGACCGTCCATGCAAAAATGGCAATGCCCGATTTCCATCGGTACCCTTAAAAGCTTTTTTTCGATCAAGTATGAATTAGATATTCATGTTTTTGCTTCTTTAACCTGTTTATTTTCATTTGCGGTTTCTCTGCACAAGTGACTTGCGCATTTCATGTTTATAAGAAGCAATGGAGAAACTCATAATAATAAACATATTCTAGTCAGAAAAAGGAAATCATCTTCCATATTTTTGATCAGATTAAGGGTTCTACCCTTACACCCTTTTTTTATGAGTAATAAAATTAACTTTGAAAATTGGAAAAAATCTTCATGAATAAATAAAAGTTTGAAGTTCCAGTGTGTGGATCCGTATCCGTTGGATCAGCAAGATTTTGGCATCCTGGATCCGGATCAGCAAGATTTTGGCTCCCTGGATCCGGATCCGCAAGATTTTGGCTCCCTGGATCCTGATCCGCAATATTTTAGCTACCTGGATCCGGATCCGCAAAAATATGCAGGTCCGGGGTCAAAATTTCAACCAACGTCAACAAATAAAAATATTTTTTGCTCTAAAAAATCTCAATTAGAGATTAATAATAAAACTTCTTAATATCTGAACAATTCATTAAATTTTAGCATAAAAGAAGAAAAATTGTTCAAAAGATTAGGAAATGTTTACTGTTCAGGACCTGGATGCGGATCCGGATCCGGAACTTTACGACACTTAATTGATCGCCATGTAAAATCTAGACAGTGATTTTAATATTTGATTTAGGTTATGTTTATATCCTGTAAGCAAACTGCAGAAATGTTGAGCCAGAATATTATATCACCATTCAAGTTTAGGTAAGTAGGAAGGACATGGGCGTACACAGGAATTGGCTCAGGGGGGGGCTTTTTCCAAGGAGAGGGCTCAGAACATGGGGGGGATATGAAAACCTGCCGGAAATCATAGATTTCACTGATCCAGGGGGGGGGGACTGAGCCCCCATAGCCCCCATAATAAAATAGAACATAGAACTTGACCAAACTGAAATTATTAAGCATCAGGTGATTAATCTGGTGTGCTGGGTCATGCTCATTTTTTGGTGTTCAGTCTACACCTCAAAAGTTCTGGCAGATTTGACTTTTTTGAGATTTTTTTTAAAGAATTTTATTTAGGAGGAAAAAGGAGACTTTTGTTTTTTCCTTTATTTACAGAAAGGTGGAGGATTGTTTATCCCAGGTGATTATTATTCAAATAATTAGTTGCATTTTTTCAGGATGTGGTATATACATTTTTTTGAGGGGGGGGGGGAGAAGAAGGGCAGTTTTGGAATGGAAGAAGCGAAAAATTGGAGAGAGAAAATCCCCTTTCTGAAACTTTTGATCCCATAATTGTTTTTCCCAGTTCAGCGATCAAAAACTCTTGACTAACTCTAAATTGATGTAAGGGCAGGGATGTATATTTTCTTGAAAAATTATTACTCCCCCTCCACTTAAGAAACCCTTTTTTCGAAATAATTTATATGTAATTTTTATTCGCGAAATTGGGGAAAATAACAGGATGAAAAAAACTTGCCTTTTGCCTGTTCGGGAAACTAATCTAACCTTTTGATCTAAAAGGAAATTCATCTAAGAGTAATCTGATCTAATGAGAATTTAATCTAAAAAACGTGGAAATTGATCTAAAATATTTTTTTAGATCTAAGTCCGCATTTTTCTGAAAATTTTTGGAATTTGATCTAAAAAATGTGGAATCTGATCTAAAATATTTTTTTTTTCAAATTTGAGCTCCCTGTTCATTTTTATTTTTATATATTTGTCAAGTGAAGATTTTCATCAAGTTTCTTCTGCCAAAGTTATGATTTTGATCTAAGATATGTGTAATTGGATCTAAAATATGTTGAATGAGATCTAAAAATTTTTTTCAAAAATATATATTTAAGATAACCATTATGCTTTAAATCCTTAACTTTATTTGCTTAAAATATGGAATTTGATCTAAAAAGTGTTTACTTTGATCTAAAAAGTGTAGACTTTAATCTTAAATTTTATAATTTGATTAAAAATATTAGATTTAAAGGTTAAGAAATGTGTAAGATTGACACCTTAAGGGTGAAAGAGTTGGGTTCATGGGTTCAGGATCTTCATATTTTAGATCAAATTATACATTTCTTAGATCGAATTCTTCATATTTTAGATCAGATTATACATTTTTTAGACCTAATTCTACTATTTTTAAATACAGAATTCTGTACTTTCAATATAATTTCTGCACAAAATTTGGGAATTTTATCCGTAATATGTAGAATTGGATCTAAAATATTTGTTTTCAAAAATAAATATTTTTGACTCAAAAGATATAAAATCCAAATTTTAGATCAAATACCACAATTTTCCCGAAAGAATTGGAATTTGGTCTAAAAATTTTGTTTAGATCTAAGTCCACTTAGATCAGATTCTTTTAGATTAGATTGTCTTTAGATGAATAGGATTATAGATTGATTTCCTATGCACGGAATATAAACCAGGTCCCTGTCTCTAGGTGCAGCAGCTGCATAGAGCGTGTAGTTTACCCCCTGTGGAGCAGAATGGAATGATTGCTGCAATAGGAAAATATTTTTTTTATTAAAAAATTATACCTCCCTGCCCTTTCCTCCCATACCCCCCTCATCCTTGCTCCCTGCCCTTTTCTCCCATACCCCCTTCATCCTTCCTGCCCCTTCCTCCTCCCTGCCCCTTCATCCTTCCTCCCTGCCCTTTTCTCCCATACCCCCTTCATCCTTCCTGCAACTTCCTACCATACCCCCTTCATCCTCCCTGCCCCTTCCTCCCATACCCCCTTCATCCTCCCTGCCCTTTCCTCCCATACCCACTTTCTCCTTCCTCCCTGCCCTTTTCTCCCTAAACTAAAACAATTAAAATAAATTTGCAATTTAAAAACAAAATCTATGGGTTTTTATCCATGTGGATTACACATTGATGGTTTTGGGCGCATTTTAAATCCGTGTTTGCAAAATCGATAAATGATTTTTTAACAATGTTTGTTTTAAATTTGTGGGGCAATCCCCCCCCCCCCCCCAAAAAAAAAGGGACATTTTTCTTGTTGTAATAAACCTACAGATAAAGCTCCTTCACTTTACTTTGGTCTAATTGGGTTGGTTCCTTATAATCGAAAATCGTCGGAGGATAACATTTTAAAATAAAACCAGAACTTTATAAAAATATTGTTTTTAGTGTTCTCCCGACAGTCTAGGTTGTCCTTTGATACTTCATGGATAGATAGTCTACAGGTAAATATATTCATTGATTGATTTATCAATTGATCGATGGTTATTTGGCTATGATTGGACATCTTATTGATTTATAAATGTATACACTACAGTAAAGGGATTGTAAGCGTAATCTCAAGTGACCCTCCGTGCAAAAATGACAATGCCTGATTTACAACGGTACCATTCAAATCTTTTATCTGATGAAAAGGTTCCAGTACAAACGTCGGACCCACAAACGTCGGACGGTACAAACCTCGGATAGTACAAACGTCGGACCAGACAAACGTCGGACTAGTACAAACGTCAGACTGGTACAAATGTCGGACAGTACAAACTTCGAACCAGTACAAACGTCAGACCAGTACAAACGACTTGCCTAATAAAAATCTACCCAAAGGAACTGAGTTCTTGCCACTAACTCGAATATTCTTAATCTTATCCCTATATATTTGCAACCTGGTAATGTTATTAACATTTGATACTTTCAAACTTAAACTGTTTGATCTTATATATATCATAGGTTGAAATATGAAAGGTTATACAACATCAGGTTCCAAAGATATAGGCATATTGAATCATTACAGTTTGTGACAATTGAATTCCTTTTTGGTCTGTTGTTTTATACACTATACACCGACAGTGCTACTTTCAAAGTATAAGACTTTGTTCAGTTGTCAGTTTTTCCTTATAAATGTACCCGTCCGACGTTTGTCTCAGTCCGACGTTTGTACCAGTCCGACCTTTGTACTGGTACCCAAAAAAAATCTGACGCAAAAAGATGTGTTTATTTCCCTCAAAAGAGAAGATCAGTAAAAAAAAACATTTATATCTAATTCTTACGTGATCAGACAAAGCTTTAAAGGGAACCGATGTAAATCGCGCATTTTGCATGGAGGGTCACTTGAAAATACGCTTACAGTCCCTTCAATTTTAAATTTCTTTTTTTCAGGAGAAAATAATCATGGAAACTGTTGGAAGCAAAATATCTCCGTTAGTTCTAAATCCAGGTTAATAATTAAAATATAAAAATATATATTTCATAATCACCAGTGAAGGATGTCATTTGTTTAGAAAAGATGTTTTAATTTTAGATAAGTACAGTGCAAAGATGCCAATTCAATTAGTCTAAATTCGGAATTTTTAAAGATCAAAAGGGACTGTAAGCGTAATTTCAAGTGAATGACGTTCCAATTTATATAGAGTGGCATGTCCGATTTACAACGATACCCTTTAAACCTTTGCTTGATCAAGGATATTCTTATTTATATGGCGGGAAATTAAGTGCTAAAAAACCGCGCGAATGTACACTAGCACGGAGAGCTACAGTGTACACTGTAGCTCCTTTAGCCTCAAGTCTCCTGGCACTCGATCTTCAGCTATACAAATGAGGGTATCTACCTCATCCTTGTCCGGTGTAGCGTTACATCCAGACCGGGCGTTATATTTGGTCCGGGTGAATGTTACATGTGAAATCCATGTACAATCCCTTCCCCTTCCTATCAATTTTGTACATGGATTTCACATGTAACACTCACCCGGACCAAATATAACGCCCGGGCCTTATTTAACGTGACACTGATGACGTCATGGTTATTGTTAAGTATTTTGATTAAAGGTCGTATTCTGTTGACCTCGAAGAGGCTGTACTTCCAGGCTTACAACAACCTCGAGGCTGAACCAGTTGTCAAGATTAAACTCGCCAGTATTCGAAGGTCGATATTTTTATGTTTCTTTTCTTTTCGTTTATTATTTTTCATAAACAAGTTTAGATTTTTTTTTAGATTTTCTAGTTTTCTTTGTTGGATTTCCAATAACTTTTAAAATTATGACCCGTCAAACAAGATTTTTAATGGTTTAAAAATGTGGATTTTTCTTACAATTAAGAGTCCTCCAAGATAAAACAATTTTTTAAGAATCGGGCCACGTTAGGGCATAAATGAAATATTGAATTTTAGTAAATCGAAAAAAATAGTTTCAATTGAATTGAAGTTTTTGAGTTCTATGTCCTTAAAAATGTTCACCTTATTTACACGCATTTTCAGATATTCTTGGTGTAGAAAGCCGCAAATAATTCCTAGATTATAGAACTTTAATCTTTTTTCTTAATTATAGTGAACACCAAAGATTTTTTCCGGGTGGTTCCATGGGGGAAAATTATAGGCATAGGTATGCCAAATATTTTGCTATTTATTTCATATCGCGAATTGGTAGGCGGCCATTACGGAGGCAGAAGAGTTTTAAGTTTTACCTAAATAAAGTTTGACATCATTCTCAGGACTCTAAAGATTCAAACATGATTTAATCATTGCAATACTTTAGTCTGTCCATATTTTATACCCTAACGTGGCCAGATTTGTTGAAAAAAGTTTTATCTTCAAGAATTAGAATCTTTTCATTACATAATAAACGAAGGACGAGGATTTTGAGGTGGTTCGGACGAGAAAATGAGGATAATGTGGCTCGAACGAGAAGTTGTTGTGGCTGGCCTTCCTCCCCTTACGCAATTCGGCTTTGATATTTACTTTTTTTCAGAATTTTTCCCCGAAGATATTTACTGCGTCCTCAAGGGCTAGAAATAGAATACGAGGACACGAAGGTGAGAAAAATAATATTTAAATAAAATATAGTTGTGGGTAGAAATCCACACCACGGGGTTAATCCTTTCCTTTCCTTTTATAGACTCATTTATCTATTATGTATTAAATGTACTTCTATTATATATATATATCTATTTAGCAAATATCTTAGCCCACTGGTAAATAATGAGTTTAGTGAGGACTCAAGAAATTTTAAAAGTGAATTCAAAGTTTAGGTTAATGAAGTAAATATCTAATCCAGGCTAATCAGAAAGTAATAAAATCAAGAAGGGATGGAGAAATAAATATTTTTTTCTTATTTTAACATCTTGGACAGTATTTTTTTTTATTATTGTAAATTTTGAAAGTGTATGACAGTGCAAGAAAACGGATTTTTTACAATTTTATTCATACTAAGCGTTAAAAATAAAACATTAAAAAATATGTATTTACAATTGGTCATGTTTTATTAAAAAAAAGTTTTTCAAGGATTTTTTTCAGGGGTTTGCTACTCATATTTACCTTTCTCTTGGTAAACCTGGAGATAGAGATCTTCTAGTGGAGAGAATATCAGAACAACAAGAACTTCAGGTTGTGCAATCTTTTTTTACAAGCATACTAGGCTTCCAGGGCGCTTCGTGCACATCTTCTATTTCAATTGTGAGCATTTACTACTTGTATAAAATACATTGTAATACAAAACCAAAAAAAAGTTCGTGGATTTTTAAATTTAATGAAAAAAAATTAGTTTGAGGCAAATTTTTGAAATTTTAATCATTCATAAACCTTCCTGATTGGTTCAGTTGTTATGACGTTTATTGGATAAAAAAGACAAACAGAAGAGCAAAGTATATATACAGATTATAGATGTACAAAAGATGATGAAAACTTTACTTTTAAATGTTTAATATCTAAAACTATTAATTTGTGAAAAATGGAGATAAAATACAGTATTTCAAGAGTAAGAAAGTCTAATCTTAAAATGAATAATATTTAGATAACTCCAGATATGGGAAGTTTGATCTTAAAATGAAAAATATTTAGATAACTCAAGAGAAAGAAAGTCTAATCTTAAAACAAATAATATTTAGATAACTCAAGATGAAGAAAGTATGACTCTAAAATGGCAACATGGTATTCTATCTAATTACGACTATCTGCTCTACATAAACAGTATTGCGGACAGGTACAGGAAAAACCTCCTAAACAGCTATTTCAGGGGTCGGCGTTTATATAAATACTAGCTGAAGGGCCCAGAGTTGGCTGTGGAAAAAAAAATATTTGAAAAAAAAATTTTTTTTAGCCTATGTCACCCTTAGGCTACCCATGAGTTTCAACAAAAAATAATTCAGTCCATTGGGTCCAGCTGTTTGGACGGCTATAGGGAACATATATATGAATGTCTTACTTTATTATATAGAAAACAATTAAGACTGTTTTATTGTTATTTTTCATTTTTACAAGTCTTTTTTTCAGATTACAAGTTTACAAGTAAACATTAAATGAATTTGCTAGTTGACGCTTCTCTTGGTTTCCATTTTTATGTGTACCCAAGCTGTTTAAGAGCTTTGTAGAAATTAAAATTAAAATAGAAAGCAGTCTCTGTATTGATATTTACGAAGACGACTGTGTCCAAAATAATTTTTATAATCTATTTTTGTAGATCATTCAACGATTTGACTCAGTACCCTGTGTTTCCATGGGTGGTTCAGGATTATACTTCTCCAGTTCTTGATTTGGATAAAGAGAAAACATTTAGAGATCTTTCAAAACCTATGGGTAAGTTCTGAGCTAGACTTGAATAAGAAAAATCCCTGTTGACGCGCTGAAAACCTTTGGGTAAGCACTTTAAGCAACCAATAGGTTAATACAATTTAAGTCTTAGATTGGTAAAAAAAAAGACATCTTTTTAACTATAGGGATATGTGAAAAACATAATTGCGTGAAATAGAAATTAGAATTAAACCACTATTAAACTATCAAAATGTAGTATAAATTGTAGGCAAATTAACACTAAAGACAAATACAGAGTAACCCAAAAAGGATGAAACTTTAAAAAAGATTTAAAACCTTTAAAATGAGATAATTCTCAGGTTAAATTAAGTCTTCTTGTAGTAAACGCCTACTCCAGAACAATTTCTCGAACCAGTATCTATCCAGGTATAACTCAGACTATCTTGACTATCAATGTCTCACACAGGACATGATCCACACGGCTACAATCCCGTGAAATATTAACGGCACTACCACTGGGCCCGATCTCGTTTGCTATGTCAACCGGACAATAGCAATCTACTGATCAATGTCTGGAACCGGAGACGATCCACACGGCTACAATCGGTTCACCGACACAGGGTCAAACGACACAGGGTCAAACGACAAAGGGTCAAACGACAAAGGGTCAAACGACAAAGGGTCAAACGACACTGGGTCAACCGACAAAGGGTCAAAAGCGCGACAAAGGGTAAAACGACAAAGGGTAAAACGACATAGGGTCAAAAAATGCGACAAAGTGGCAAATTTTTTTTAAATTTTGACATCTGTTACAGTTAGTATTTATTTATTTTTATTTAGGGTTAGGTTAGGTTAAGACACTTTCTGGGCCGAGCGCTGCGGCTAGGACAGGCTAGTGGGCCGAGCGAGTTTCCTATGATTCAAATCAAAAAAATATTTTTATCATTTTGACCTTTTGTCGTTTGACCCTTTGTCGCACTTTTGACCCTTTGTCGTTTGACCCTGTGTCGTTTGACCTTTTGTCGGTGAATCCTACAATCTCATCAACTATCAATGCCAATACAACTGGGCGCAATCTTATTTGCTATGTCAACCAGACAATAGCAATCTATTCGTATGTTTCAACGAAACCAAATTACTCTCAACACTGTAATCAAAGCGGAGTTTCTGCAGCAACTAACTATATTCCTTCAGTTAAGATTAGAATTGAGTCATCCACAGCGTAATTACAAGTTATGTGTTGTTATATATAACATAGTTAAGCAATCACAATATGGGTATCATGCAGTTATGTACATCTACGTACATTGAATGGCTTAATCGCAGTACATGATTTACGTATTTAATAAGGGGAACATTTAGCTAGATTGACAATGTACAACGTAATCTACTCTATATTTGCTACATTCTGTCCTGGATGTTATCTTTTAATTACTCATAAGATGATTTAGCAAAGAAAGAAAACATGTTTACATTTGCAGGGAATCATGAATATAATGAAACAGACAGCATAAATTCTTTAAAGTCGTCTCTGAAGTCTCATCCTTTAAGTGCGTAGCCCTTTATTTTTTTAGGAGCCGTCAACCCAGAAAGATTGGAATCTCTAAAGCAAAGAAGGGAAGATATGCCTGAACCTAGATACCTTTACGGTAGTCACTACAGTACACCGGGTTTTGTACTCTACTATTTAGTGAGAAAGGTACAATTTTTCATATATAGTTTGGTAGTCACTACACTACACTGGGTTTTGTACTCTATTATCTAGTGAGAAAGGTACACTGTACATATATAGTTTGATAGTCACTACACTACACTGGGTTTTGTACTTTACTCTTTAGTTAGAAAGGTACAATTGTTCATACATAGTTTGGTAGTCACTACACTACACTGGGTTTTGTACTCTACTCTTTAGTTAAAAAGGTACAACATACATAGTTTTGTAGTCACTGCAGTACACCGTACAGTACACATATCACCTATTTATCACGAAAACCGATAAAGTACACAAGAGTTTCATCACATCACTTCATTGTGAATTTCATAATGTATACGTGCTATAAAGTAATCATTTTGCTATAAAGTTAAATTAGCTGTACATTATAACACGTGTGCTATTAAGTTTTGATTAGTTCCCGGATTTTCTCCAAAAAAGTGGCGCATCTAGGGGGGGCGAACCGAGTTTCGCCTCCGTCTTTATATCTTTCTGTACTGTACTGAATACCTTTTTGTGTACTTAACTGTCTAGGTACCTGAGTACATGTTGTGTTTACAAAATGGCCGATTTGATCATCCTGACAGAATGTTTAACTCAATACCACAGGAATACATCCGTCTAATCTCAGGGGTAATTCTTAATTTTTCATGGAAAAAATTAAACACCAAAAGCCAATATTTTTATTCTTTTCGATGGCTATTTTTTTCCTTCTTCTAATTTAATTCAATTGTCCCAATAAAACGCTAAAATGAATTCTGTATATTCATANAACTTTTAAAATGTTCAATGATGAGTTGTTTTCTTAAAAATAATGGACGTGTATATTTGCCCAGACCTGGAGAAATGTAACAACAAACCAGTCAGATTTTAAGGTTAGTTAATCTGCTACTCAGGTCTGGCAGACGGCCAAGGAGATTAGGTACGCATGCCGCAATGAATTATAAGACGGAGAAAGAGTGTTCTAACCACAGCGCACGGCCCCCTAGTCTGTCCTAGCCGTTGCGCTAGGTCCCCTAGTCTGTCCTAGCCGCAGCGCTTGGTCCAGAAAGTTTTTAAACACCCTGTTAACACATTCACTTCATCCGCAAACTACACTCCCTACACGTATTATTCAAACATCTGCAACATTACTAGATCACATATTTAGTAATTCAGATCCTGAGTCATAAGAATGTGGAATCATCTACTCAAGTTTATCTGACCATTTACCCGTTTTTTCATTGTCTAAAATAGATTTGGCTTGTCTGTCTGTTTGTTTGTATCCAATAAACGTCCAAACGGCTGAACCGATCGGGCCCAAATTTTTTGTGGGACATCACGTGACCACAGGGAAGGTTTATGAATGATAAAAATTAAGAAAAAATGTGTTTTAAAGGTTTTTAATTTGGTAAAAAAATTAAATTCTTGAAAATCCACAAAATTTTTTTTTAAATCCGCAATATTTTTCTATTCTTTGTTTTAAAATGTAAACAAAAAGAACATGTTCACAATTTAAATAGAAGATGGGTGCGAAGCGCCCTGAAAGCCTAGTTGTCTAAATGTACACAACATGAAGATAATATTGGTAGCAAACCAGTTCTAATTAGAAACACTTTAATCGAAAATAAAACCAAGTTCAAGGAAAAATTGTTACTCAATGACTGAACTCACGTTATGATAAATGAAGATCATTCTACAGCCTTTTCTGAATTTTCTAACACATTAAATAATATTTATGAAGAAAGCTTTCCACTTATCAAATATAAGCCAAACAAAAATAAAAATTCTGTTAACCCTTGGTTTACGTCCGCCTTGCTAGTGTCAAGAAAACAAAAAGAAAAATTATTTAAGAAAAAAATCCTGAATCCAACTACAAACAATATAGAAACTTTTAGAAAATATAATTCTGTTTATCGCACAACAATAAAAAAGGCCAAGACTAGTTATTTTTCTTCAAAATTTACAGAATACTCAAAAGACATCAAAAAGACCTGGTCTTTACTAAACTCTATTATTTTTTCTAAGAAAAAAAGTCATTCAGTTCCTGAAATTTTCACTGATGATAAAAAAAGTTTTGTGGGATCTGCTGAAATAGCAGAGGGTTTTAATGATTTTTTTGTGAACGTTGGACCCAGATTGTCTAGTTATTATATTCCGGATTCTAATGTCAATTTTGAAACATGTCTAAAGGAGCCATCCGAGGAAAATTTTGTGTTTGCAAATATTACACCAGAAATTATTCTTGAAACAGTGAGTAAACTTAAACCTAAAAAAAGTTCAGGTAAGGACAATATTTCTACCAAGCTACTGAAGGAAATAATTGAAAGTATTGTCTATCCTATAGCGCTGATTTGTTAAACCTTTCTTTTAGAACAGGATATATCCCTAGTGATTATAAATGTGCAAAATAGTTCCTATCTTGAAAACTGAACATAAAGATAAATTTAATAACTACAGACCAATTAGTATTCTCCCAGCGCTAAGTAAACTTCTTGTAAAAATAGCTGCGACACACATGTTTAAATATCTTAATAAGTTTGAGATTTTCTATCAACATCAATATGGATTTAGACCACAACATAATACTAATCAACCTTTACTACACCTAATGAATAAAATTTACGAAAATCTTAATAAACCCCAACCAGAATTTACACTGGGAATTTTTTTAGATCTTAAGAAAGCTTTTGACTGTTGCAACTTAGATATTCTTTTTAAAAAACTAGAGTATTACGGTTTTAAAAATGTAGCTAACACATGGTTTCAAAACTATTTAGTAAATAGGACTCAATATGTTTGTATAAATGGTATTTTTTCTAAAGAAAAAACAATTTTATGTGGTGTTCCTCAGGGAAGTGTTCTTGGGCCCCTACATTTTCTCATATACATAAACGATTTGCCTTTAGCAACGTCTTTTTTTACTAATCTATTTGCTGATGACACTAGTTTTCTAAAATCATCTCCACATATCGAAACTTTAGTAATTGATGCGAACTTTGAACTAAAAAAGGCAGCTGCATGGTTTCAGGCAAACCGTTTAACACTAAAGGTTTTCAAAACAAAGTTTATCATATTTAGGAATAAAAATATGCATTTTGATCCTGAGAACTGCAAATTAAAAATTGGAATTGAGATCCTAGAAAGAATAGGAACTGACTGTACAAATAAATATTTCAAATTTGTTGGACTCAAAATTGATGAATTTTTAAATTGGGACTATCAAATTGAACATGTTTCCAATAAGATTGCTAGTTCAATTTTTGCTCTGAATCAGATTAAAAACATTTACTGTTAAACATTCGTCTACTAGTTTATAATGCACTTGTAAGGCCACATATTGAGTAAGGAATTATAACATGGGGGGGCGTAAAAAATGCTAAACTACAGAAAATCAAGTCTTTGCAAAAAAGGGCAATTAGAGCAGTAAATAATAATTCATTTAAGGCACATTCAGATCCAATATTTTTCAGATTAGAACTCCTAAATCTTGATGATACACATAAACTAGGTGCTCTATCTTTTATGCAGAAATACTTTCCAGCTTCCTTCCATAAAAATGTTTAATTCTTTAGCTGAACCAAATAGAACAAAATCATATAAACTTGAACGGGTTCTCTTTAAAACTCTTTTCCCTCTGCTTTATTTCCAAAATTATGGAATTCGATTGAATTAGAGCTGAAAGAAACTAAATCTGCAAAATCGTTTAAAAGAAAAGTCGCCAAGATCTATTTAGATAGTTATGCAAATTATATCTGTAAAAAAAACTGTATCATGTGGATAAACTTAGTCTTTACTATCTTCTTCACCCTGTAGTTCATAAAAATGATTCTAATAACTTATGTTACCCTCTGTTCCACCCTTACGCTGAGTATCCTCCCTTTCCCTTATACTCCCTCACCTCCTCCTTACCTTTTTCCTGATTTATCATCATTCTTATGTTGAAAATGTACAATGTACATTGTTTTTATTTGCAATTCTCATTCGTTTACAGTGGGCCAACCAATTAAAACAACCAACTTTGGTTAGGCGGGTCCAAACTACATAGTAAATTGTGATTTTTTTATTTGTATTATCTCGTGCTTTGTAATTGAATAAAAATATGAAAAAATAAATCCTAAAATATATACTAATCTCTCTTCTTGTAATCGAACGCGGTTAGCGCACGTAACTTCCTTGGACAGTTACCCTCAGATCTTGGAGGATTGTGATAAAAAATGCCATAATTGCAATTTGTAAATTTTCACATGGTCGACTACACATCATAGTTTGCTTTTCATTATTTTGTTGATGTCAACCTTGTTGTTTTATGTATCTTATATATATATTATTTAGCTAATCTATCTATATCCATCTTACCTTTTTATCTATTTATCTGTTTACTTCTGTCTATCTTTATCTATCCATCTACTGATCCAGTCATCTATCTTTCTATCTATCCATCCTCACATCTCTATCCATTCTTCCATTCCATCCATCTATCTATCTATCTAGGAGCTGGTGCCCCAGTTCTATCAGTCCGGGGACTTCCTCACGAACAACCTGGGGATTGACTTTGGGGTCAGGCAGGTAGATTTTACAGGGGTTCAATGTCCAATTTACAAAGGAACTATAGAAACCTATCTTATATGCTTAAACTATTATTTTCAACAATAAAATTCTCTTTAAAAGTGACTTGTGGATTTCTACTACAGAAACAATGAAGAAAAGTTGTTAAAATTGAGCATCCTGATGTAGAAAAACAATGATGTCTTTCACCATATTGATCAGATAAAGGTTGAAAGGGTACCGTTGTGAATGTAGTATTCCTCTATTAAAAATGGATTGTCACATGAAATTATAACATGAGTCCGTTTAACTAGAGTGGAAAAAGAATAGGAGATGTCCAACTACCCCCCTGGGCAGTATCACCAGACGATTTTGTGGCAAAACTTAGAACAGCCCTAGGTGAATATTTCATACTATTCGAAGCAACCCAAGCAAAACCTTAGAACAGCCCTAGGTGAATATTTCATACTATTCGAACCAACCCAAGCAAAACCTTAAAACAGCCCTAGGTGAATATTTCATACTATTCGAACCAACCCAAGCAAAACCTTAGAACAGCCCTAGGTGAATATTTCTTACTATTCGAACCAACCCAAGCAAAACCTTAGAAAAGCCCTAGGTGAATATTTCATAATATTCGAACCAACCCAAGCAAAACCTTAGAACAGCTCTAGGTGAATATTTCATACTATTCGAACCAACCCAAGCAAAAACTTAGAACAGCCCTAGGTGAATATTTCATACTATTCGAACCAACCCAAGCAAAACTCTAGAACAGTCCTAGGTGAATATTTCATACTAATCGAACCAACCCAAGCAAAACTCTAGAACAGTCCTAGGTGAATATTTCATACTATTCGAACCAACCCAACCAAAACTCTAGAACAGCCCTAGGTGAATATTTCATACTATTTGAACCAACCCAAACAAATTATTTGTTTAATTTAGAATAGCACTAGATGTAGTATATTTTTTAATTTAGAATAGCACTAGTAAACATTGGAACGATTTCTTTACATTTCTTAAAATTTGCCATTACATTTTTTTTTATAATTTTACTTAATTCATTTCCTGATGTAACTTTTAAGGTTGTGTGGACCTAGATACAATCAGTGATCTCAACGAACGGTGGGGTCTAGAGGTCCAAATATCTGAATTCGGTCAGATTCCAAAACAGGAAGGTGTCACAACGGAAAATCTTTATCCTAAGCTTATTTTCTGATTCAGAATCATAAGTTTGAAATGTATAAATGATGTTATACCTGGTTCACCCACATAGAATGCGACTTAAAGGAAAAATCTGGGTTTCTGCCAAAAATTAAGTTTTTTATTTGGGGAAGGAAAAAACAAGTTTACAGCTGTAGCAGTACACGGAACCATACATTTAAGAATTCTGAAGTCTCAACCTTTGTGTCTGAAACAGTATTATATTACTTTTTGGGTTTATTAATAATATGTAAATAACTGAAATTGTATGAACCGTTATGGAAACCATTAAAACAGATCTTTAAAAATCCTCATCCGCAGCGATACACAACCATCCCTCCAGCAGTCATCCTCAATACTACACCCCTCACTCATCCCTCCAGGTATACAACCATTCCTCCAGCAGTCATCCTCAATACTTCACCCCTCACTCATCCAGGTATACAACCATCCCTTCAGCAGTCATCCTCAATACTACACCCCTCACTCATCCCTCCAGGTATACAACCATTCCTCCAGCAGTCATCCTTAATACTTCACCTCTCCCTCATCCCTCCAGGTATACAACAATCTCTTAAGTAGGCATCCTCAATACTACACCACTATACAACGATTCCTCCAGCAGCCATTCTCAATACTGCGCCCCTCACTCATCCAGGTATACAACCATCCCTCCAGCAGTCATCCTCAATACAACAACCCTCACTCATCCAGGTATACAACCATCCCTCCAGCAGTCATCCTCAATACTACAACCCTCACTCATCCAGGTATACAACTATCCCTTCAGCAGTCATCCTCAATACTACACCCCTCACTCATCCCTCAAGGTACACAACCATTCCTCCAGCAGTCATCCTCAATACTTCACCCCTCACTCATCCCTCCAGGTACACAACCATTCCTCCAGCAGTCATCCTCAATACTACACCCCTCACTCATCTTCCAGGTACACAACTATTCCTCCAGCAGTCATCCTCAATACTTCACCCCTCACTCATCCCTCCAGGTACACAACCATCCCTCCAGCAGTCATCCTCAATACTACACCCCTCACTCATCTTGGTATAGAACCATCCCTACAACATTCATCCATAATTAATAATTACTCATTTTAACGGAAATTGTTACTAAAAATTAATGGAAGGTTTAAATACGATTCACTTCTCTGTTTAAACCGAATATGAAAAATTGTTAAATTTTTAAATTAATATTTTCCTTCTCAAATGCTTTCAAAATAGTAGTCCTAAATGAAAAGATAACAATAACCATTTCCTAAGCATTCAAATTATGCTACAGCAAAATGTAAAAAAAAAACTTAAGTTTACAAGCTTTGATTTTTTCATAATTTTATTTCTGAGTACATTAAACTGTTTGCAGTAAAAACTGGGTAAAATTCTCGCGACTACTCCGGGATTCTGACCATCAATCTCACAAGGAACCTATATCAGCCCTCGCCATTTTCCAGGTTAGTACATTGACACCTATGAACTGTGAAGTAGGAAGACAATTGTCAATTCTAATTATGATTTAGACAACCTTTATTATAAAGCTTATAGCTGGCCAAATTTGCTAATCTTTTTTGAGGGAACCCATGGGTACCCTGGGCACTGTAGTTTAAAAGTAGATTTCATGGACATCAGTACATAAAAGTCTATAACTTTTAAATATATATATACTAGCGCGCCGATCAGCGTGGTCAACAGATTTGTTAACCTAAGAAATGGAATCTTCCTGTCCAATTATTAATAAATTGAAATTATAAATTGATATACGACATGTAAAACTTTTAGTAAGATAATCCATAATCTGGCTACTAGCGCGCCGGTCAGAATGCTCCAAAGTCAATTTTCACCTGGGTAATGAATTCCGTGTCCCATTTTACCTGTAGTTTGATATATCGCATGCTACTTTTATTTTAAATTAGGCCCAACTTGAATGAAAATATATTCATTTATATGTTTTCTTAATTGCGCGCGCGCGGTAACTTGAGGCTCTAGGGCGCAAACTTTTCGTGAATTTCTTGTTTAATGGCGTCCTGATGCAATTTCAAGTTTATTTAACGGTGTAAAGCATGGGAAACGTGAAAAAGTCGCATTTTTTAACAAAAAGCGCGCGCGAACATTTGCTCCGATCTATTTGAAATTGCATTTTGCAGTTACAATACATTACATATTAGTGAGTTCGCTTGCAAAAAATCAGCGTCCTACGATAATGCTAAGTTATCTTTAACCACTGTTTAAATTTTCCGGAGAGTAATATTGTAGATTTTTCCAAATGTTATTGGACGCCAACAACCCGATAACCACTAAAGCAAGGCAAAGGAATTGAGTGTTGGCCATAAACTCAAATTTTCTAATCCCCTAATCTTTGCAAGGTGATGGTGTGAACCTTTGGTATTTAGAATTTTTAATACTTTATCTAATCAGAATTCATAGTTTGATATATCTACGGTCTTTGAATGATCAAAACAATATAATGAGGCTCTTGATTATGAACAATAATGTACAGGATCATAATAATTATGTACAAGATCATACTAATTATGTACGTAATCGTGTGGTTGTATCTGCGAGTAAGGATAGTGCTGTAAAGCTGTACAACCTAAGTACAAGTACCGTTATAATTAGGCATAAGATCATGATTAATATATACTTTACAGGATCATAATAATTATGTACAAGATCATGATAAGTATGTACAGGATCATGATAAGTATTTACAGGATCATAATAATTGTGTAAAGGATCTTGTGGTTGTATCTGCATGCTAGGATAGTGCTGTAAAGCTGTACAACCTAAGTACATGTACCGTAATAATTATGTACAGTATAATTATAAATATGTACTGTACAGTATCACACTAATTATGTACAGGATCGTGTGGTTGCATCTGCAAGCAAGGATAGTGCTGTAAAGCTGTACTACATAAGTACATGAACCGTAATAATTATGTACAGTATAATTATAAATATGTACTGTACAGGATAATAATAATTGTGTACAGGATCGTGTGGTTGTATCTGCAAGCAAGGATAGTGCTGTAAAGCTGTACAACCTAAGTACATGTACCGTAGAGAGATCTGTCTCTGCCCGTACAACATCAATTTCAAGTATTATCTGTCCGCACAAGTCTAACAACATTTTATTAGGTAATTTATTATTTTTAATGATTTAATCACTATCATTATCAATATTAATAATAATATTATTATTATCATTGTTATTAATAATGCTATTATCATTATTATTATTATTCTTATTAATAATGCTTTTCTTATTATAATTATTATTTCGTAAGCGGACTTTAAAATTCTTTCATATAAATACCATCGTCCTCAATTTTAATTATAATGCGGGATTATGTTTCTGGTTTTATTTTATCATGTTTTGTTAAAAATGTTGCAAAGTTATGATTAGGTTGTTCTGATAGTACAATTCTCTGCTACAACATCAACACTGCAACCTTCGGCCCGCCCATCCCCGCCCATAGTGACGCTGTAAGCTGCCTAGCATGGAGCGGGGGTAGGCTGGCTAGTGGTGGGTGGGATGGCCGTGTGAGGGTGTGGCGATGTAGTGCAGAAGGGATGGAGGGAGGAGATGCGGTTTATGAACTAAGTCTTGGTAAGTTTGATGTATAGTTATTAAGTAACTTTGTAATTTCTTTAAATAATCTCTTTTTCTTGTGTTTGCATATTTAAAAATTTTGGAGGATTTCATTTTGATTAAATACTTAAAATATTCAATCGCGTACAATTGATAATAAGGTGTGTCCGCGAACTCATACTTCTAGGGGTCAAAGTGTACTTCAATGATAAGCGGGGTGGTTTGGTGTTTTAATGGATTTAATAATTTTTAAACCACTCAGGAGTGAATTTTATTTTAAGAATATCAGATTACGGGGGGAGGGGTTAAGGTAGAACATTTAAGGGTCATAGCTCAATTACTTTTAAGTTCTGAGGTATTTTTCTCTCTACAGAACTCATGTACACCACAAGTACTCAATGACATAAGAACAGCCAATGTTCACAACCGACCTAGTTAATCTATATAATAGGAATATCTTTAAAACATATCTGTACATTTATATCTTTCAAGATGAAAAATGTCGTCTTATGAGCAATCTATCTTTATCTATGGAAAATTCGCGGAAAGAAGTATTAAAATGTCGTCATCCGTGAACCAGAATTATTATTTTGCCTACGAATACGAAAGTATCTAGATATCTTAATACAAAAAGACGGGCCATGTTCAGTGTTCAAAAGTGTATTTTAAAATAAGGGATTGTAGATACCAATTTGGTCACTATGCTAGAAATGTTTGCAGAGGGTTGGATTCTAAAAGTCCCTAATTGCTCAATGCTCAGGGTCCCCTGTAACCTGTGTGAGTATTCTCTACTCTGAGTCTGGAAAACCCCTAGAGGAGGAGCAGAATGGAGAGGAGGAGGAGAAGGTGGATAAAGATGAACTCGGAGAAGGTTGGGTGGCAGGAGGGAGCAGAGAAGGAGATGTTCTCATCTGGAGATTAGACGGAGGAAGGTTTAGTCTCTCTCAGCAGATACCAGCTCATAAACGACAGGTAAGGGGGGCGGGGAGTGGAAGACGACTTTAAAAGAATTTTTCAGTTTTTAAAATAAACATCATTTCCAACTGAACTCATCACCTTTTAATGCCTTGCCAATATTAAATAATTTCTGGGGTCAGACTGAGGGCAGCTGATGTTGCAAAAATCATGTTTATATTTATAATTCAGCATGAACCCAAAAAAGAAATATTGCGGCCAAGAAAATAAACAAAAAATTTTTAAAATCAAAAAAAAAAACACTTATGACGCACACTGCTGTAAGGTTTTGTTTGGTACATTTTTTATTCAAATATAAGAATGAATAAATTAATGAATAGGTGAATGAAAGGATGGGTAAATTAATTAATGAAGATGATATGAATGAATATTAAGGTGAACTGTGTCCTGTTCAATCCTAGTGGAAACCAGGTGTTGACCGGTGGGTCAGATTTCTCAATTCAATTGTTTGATTTAAAAACAGGAACTCCAGTCTTCAGGTTTGGAATCGGAGAAACTCATTTTTAAATATTAAATCATTAATTTTAATTTTTGAAAATATTTAAAATTGAAAAATTTAGAAAAATTTTCGTCTGGGTTTTCAATTTTTCGAATAAATTTGGTTCCGTAAATGTAAGACGAAACGTTTCTTGAAGTTTTTAGAAATGGAACGCCTTTTTTAGAACTTGTTAAGATTTAGAGTGAAACCGTTATAAGGCCATGTTCAATAAGTTTACAAAATGATGATTAGTTATATAATTGTTTGCAGAAAAATCGTTCCATAATTTTTTTTCGCTTGGTCGCACTACTTCTGATTGAAATTTAAAACCTAGTTTGAAAAATCAATTATTTAATTGTTTTTATCTAGGAAGGATTTGGGAGAGGAGATAACAGCTCTAGTATGGGACGGAGAAACCACTGTAGTCGGAGGGGGACGAGGAACTCTCCAGGTGTGGAACCTACTCCAGGGAACCAAGATACATGCGGAGAAGGTTCATGAGGGTAGGATCAGTGCTCTCGCAGTCCTAGATCAGGGGAGAACTGTTCTTAGTGGGGGAGAGGACAGAAGAGTTATTGCTTGGAGGACGGTGAAGGATTAAAAGACATAAAGTTAATGCGTTGAGGACGGTAAAGGATTAGACGACAAAAATTTATTTGCTTAGAGGGAGGACAAGGATTAGAGGACAAAAGAGGTATCTCTTGGAGGATGGTGAAGGATTAAAGGACAAAAGATAAGGACAGTCAAGGATTTGATTTGAACATCAAATAAATGAAAAATCATACTGAAAGGGAAAAGTCCAAAAATATTCAGAAGCGTAGAAGTTTTAACATTTTCTTAATTTACAAAAACACATAAAATAATGCGATGAATGATTGTGAATAATCTTCTGTTTTAAAAGTTAAGATAATCATTATTGTAAGTATTGAAATTATTATATTTATGTTGTCACGTTGCCATACAGACGAGAAAACTGTGATCATTACTATTCTGTGATCCAATTACTGATTCTTTTATGTATACCATTCGTTTTTACTATCTTCTATATAATAAAACAAGACATTTATATATATGTTGCTTAAAGCCAGCAAAACGGCTGGACACTCATGTGAAGTCGGTGGGTGTCATGGGCTACAAAAAATAGAATTTTATTTTTAATATTCAAAATCTTTTTAAAAACTTTTTTCCACCGGGCGCGCCGGGCCTTTGAGCTAGTTAATGATAACTAAGATGTTGTTATTAACATTTTGTCATATTCTTTTCTTTGATAGAAATGATGTTGAATGTATTTTTTAAAGATTGTTATCGATTAATTGTACAGTGGAACCCATATATTACAAGTACAACCAACATGAAACACGGTAATTGTGCAGTGTTCCCAGGCCATTTCACTTGATAAGTTAATTTAAAAATTACTGGAAAAACTATTCACCAAGTACAGTGTTCACATAACTAACCTTTTAGGGCGCTTCGCGTCCATCTTCTATTTTAATTGTGAACATCGTAAAAAAGAAAAAAAATCGTGGATTTTTAAAATTTTCAAAAATTAAATGAAAATCGTATATTGTTGTGGTAAGTAAAAGTAAGTACTTATTAACATTTTTCTGGCGTAATTTTTGAACTTTTTTAAAGCCTCCCTTGCACCCTAACCATTCAAGTTTGAGTTTAAATTTTTACGAGCTGGGCTTAGAAAGTTGGACAAGGGACATGCACGCACACTCCCCGAACTCCCCAATCTTAATTGTAAGGGCAAACCCTATATTAGACACAAATTCCCTATCGTATTATGCGTATTACAGTGTGGACAAAATGTACGGATTTTTTATTTTGTAACCCTAAAATTGTACGGATTTTTTTTTTCAAATTGTACGGATTTTTATCCTGGAAATACACCGGGTTTTTTATTTTCACTCATTTCATAATAGTAATGTTTAAGTTTTATATCTTTGCAACCTTATGTGGTAGACTTTTGTTATTATAAGCTGTGAATTCTGCCAGATTAATTAGGCTCCGTTTCAAAAACCAAAGATTTCAGGTTGCAAAGATAAATGGATTTTAAAATTGAGTTTAAGTTGAGTTTCTTCAGTTCAGTTATTTTTTCATTATTTCCGGGTTCTCATCCAAGCATTCAAATACCTACCGTAGTTATTACTACCAGGAATGTAGGTTGTTAGAGGGAACATCATTGGTTGCTGAGGGAAGGGTGGGGGGAGTTACAAAATGGGGTAGAGAAAGAGGTGTTGGGGAATGGGGGTGGGGGGTGAGACAGTGTTGAATAATATTTTCAAAAATGGTTTTATTTTTCTAAAATGTACGGATTGCAGGGATTTTTTTCGAAAATTGTACTGATTGTACGGATTTTTTCGGAAATTGTACGGATTTTTTTTTAATGTACGGATTTGTTAAAAAAATGTACGGATTGTACAAATTTTTTTTTCGAAAATTGTACGGATTGTACGGATTTTTTTTTCGAAAATTGTACGGATTTCCTCTGAAAATGTACGGATTTTTGTACGGATTTTTTCAAAAAAGTTTTATCAATATTTTCTGAAAAATTAAAATCTTATTTTTACTTTTTCAACATTTCAAGAGAATTGCATTAGAACGTTTAAGGGGATGTACGTTAGTTGAAGTTACTCTCCAATGAAACATATAGTTGAGAAGGTGTGAGGTAGACATAGTAATTTGATATTATTTTGTTAATTTCCTCCCTTATTTCTGCTAAATTCGGATGTCATTTTTATGGAGAACCTGTCAGGGAAAATTATCAATTTTTAGAGAGAAACTTGATATATTTTGCTTAGATAATAGATGAAGGGTCACTTTAGCCTTAAACAGGCTGGGGGTGGGGGGGTTGGCGCCCCCTCCCTGTAGTTTTTTTTCCGAGCACTCTCATTTTGACACTACATAGTGAAATTTTGTGACTTTTAATGAATAAAATCTAAAATAGCCCATAACTTTTTTGTGACTAAAGCTAGCTACATATCTAAAACTATATTTTTGAAAAGCCCTTGAAAAATGAATACAGAAACATGCGTCACACTATGATATTTGAATAAACAACCAAAAAAAATTTTTTTTTCATTTTTCTGACTTCTTTTTTGGCTTTTTCATCAACACTCCCTAGCACCTAAACTATTAAAGTTATCGGTCTAATTTTTTTTCTTCAATGAGCTGGCATTGGCAAATTGGGCTATGCACATGCATTTTAACCCTATAACTATTTTCTAAAGCCTTTTGTAGGGGGGGGGCGCCGAACGCCCCCCCCCCAGGTCATACATAGATTCAGACCCCCAGCCTTTATAGGGTTAAACTACGTTCGCAGTTCCTTTTATAATTTGTAAGCTAATCCATACATTTTTCTTTCATATAATTTTTATTCTGATTTTGTTCTTACAGTACGTGTATATCAAAAAGAANTATTTCCCAAGGGGTTAGTTTTGACCAGATCTAGAATCCTGAATTTCCTCGTTTTCCAATTCCGACTAAGTGTTAATGGTTAGTAGAGGTTGAAGATTGGTTCAGCTCATCTAGTCTAGTAGTTTCCAGTATCCAATTATACCCGGAGAATCTTGAACCCGACGAGCGGGGAAGGCAGGCGGCCATAAGCCACAACATTTTTCCCTTCCATGTCACATATTAGCTTTTTTGTCTTCCGGCAGTCATGAGCCACAACCGTACGGTCTTCCGTGCCACAGCATTTGAGTCTTCCGGCAGTTATGACGTTTTTAATTAATGCATTAGTGCATTGAAATTGTGATTTTCAAAAATCCAGCGACATCATTCAAAAGATATATATAAAGAACTTTATTTTTAAGTTCTAAATTGAAATAATGACGATTCCTTTTAATGTAAACTGCTAAACAAATTTTCCACAAAAAAAAAAAAAATTCAATCTTTCCTCTAATATGGCTTATTTTTGAAAAAAATGAAAATTATGCAGCTTAACATACTCTAAAAATTCAAAGGGAGTTTTTGAGAAAATCTGAAACGCTGTAATGACAGCTAATATTGTGATATTTCTCATCTTTTTTATTCTTTAGACAATTTGTCTCGGTGCCCACAATGCGTAAAATGATGTAAAATTATCTTTGTAAAATGTAAAACAGTTTGTAAACTAAACACACAATTCATTGATCTTTAATAAACTTCTAAAATTTCTTAGAGGTATTATCTTTTAAGTAATGCGGCAGGATTTTTAAAAATTGCAATTTCAAAGCCCTAAATTTATTATTTAAAATAGTACTAACTGCCAGAAGACTCAAATGCTGTGGCTTGGAAGATCGTCTGGTTGTGGCTTATGGCTGCCGGAAGACAAACAAGATAATATGTGGCATGGAAGGGGAAAATGTTGTGGCTTATGGCAGACTGCCTTTCCTCGCTCGCCCAACTTCTAGTATTAGAGAACTTGGAACATGGGTCTATGTACCCAATTATACCCGGAGAATCTTGAACCCGACTACTGTACTATCAGAGAACTTGGAACATGGTTCTATGTACCCTATTATACCCGGAGAATCTTGAACCCGATACTGTAGTATCAGAGAGCTTAGAACATGGCTCTATGTGCCCATTTATACTCAAAGAATCATGGAACCAGATTAACATTTTCATCATTGAGAAACTTTAACTCCATTTTTATTTTTTACCTATACCCAGTAAATCTTAGACTTGCAGTATTCAGTTATACCCAGAGAATCTGGAACCATACTCTTAATATTGATTTTATACCCCATGGAGAATCTCCCAGTGCCTACAGCGCCTAGAGAATCTGAAAACCGAAACCTTATATTAGTCAGTTTATGCTCAGAAAATATTTAGCCCACTTAGCGGTACCTAATTTCATCCATAGAGTCTTGAACCCAAGGTTGTATAATAAGGTTGGGTACTCGGAATGCGCTCCAATGTATGGAAAATGTCGTCTCCTAAGTTAGATAGATTCAAACTAACACAACGTCTCTCTCCCCTTTTTTATCAGTGACTTTAATCTATCTATCTTAGGAAACAACATTTTCCGTACATTGGAGCGCATTGAGAGTAACCAACCTTATTATACAACCTTGCTTGAACCTAACCCTCGATTCTTATAGTTATATCTGAGATCGCTAATTAACTCAGTCAAAACAAAAGTTAATTAGTTATGCTCTTTCAATTCTGCAGCACTTATAAATTAACAACTGTTTTATCCTTTTTTTCTTATTCTCTTCTTAAACCCATTCTTTAATCAACCCTCTCAACTTTTATTTTCTAGTTTCCCTGCCACCCCTCGTTGTAAGATTTGTGAAACTCCGTCCAACTTTACATAATGATAAAAGTGTAAATGAATAAGAGGAAAACTTTTTTCCGCTAGTTTGCAGATTTCCTCCCAGCTTGCTAATTAAACATGCTAATCCAGGGAGCAACTTAGGTAGGCAGATAGATAGATAGATATTGATTCAACTCATTTAGAAGAACTCGTTCAAAACTGAACATTAAGAATTAAGATTAACTGTAGAGGTTTCAGGAGAGGGGGTTCAACCGTCCACTACCAATCGGAGCATGTTTTTTTTTCATTTTCCGGTGTATCCCCTAAAATCTCTGAACTATTATCTATCTATTTTTTTTATACATCTGACGGAGTTATATCAAATTAAAATAGAACAATTTATTACAACAGTTTATGACTGGGAGAAGGAACTGTTTTCAGTCAGTTTCTTTTCTTGTATCTTGAAGCTTGGAAAATTGAAAAGTAGTGACCAAAAATTTCGTCTTAATGTATTTCTTGATTATAGACATATTCTTAAAACTTATTTTCAAAAGCATATTGACTTTTTCTAAACTTGGTAGCAAAGCACATGAACATTATTTATTAAAGAATGTTGGAGGAGATAGAAATAGATGGAATGAAAGAGATAAAGAGGATGGATAGAATGAAAGAGATAAATATGATGGATAGAATGAAAGAGATAAAGAATGATGGATAGAATGAAAGAGATAAAGAGGATGGATAGAATGAAAGAGAAAAATAGGATGGATAGAATGAAAGAGATAAATATGATGGATAGAATGAAAGAGATAAAGAATGATGGATAGAATGAAAGAGATAAAGAGGATGGATAGAATGAAAGAGAAAAATAGGATGGATAGAATGAAAGAGATAAACAGGATGGATAGAATGAAAGAGATAAAGAGGATGGATAGAATGAAAGAGATAAAGAAGATGGATAGAATAAAAGAGATAAAGAGGATGGATAGAATGAAAGAGATAAAGAAGATGGATAGAATAAAAGAGATAAAGAGGGTGGATAAGAATGAAAGAGAAAAAGAGGATGGATAGAATGAAAGAAGATGGATAAGGAAAGAGGATGGATGGTGATTGACAGGATTAATTGCTCTATAGGGGACCCTGTCACAGATTCAAGGATGAAGAAGGAAAAAGTAAAAATTTCACAGACTTGACAATTTTAAGTGACATTTGTTTTAAACAGTGACATGATTGATTCACAACGGTGCCTTTAATACCTTAATTAACCTGATCAATAATTCTGAATTTTTCCCCCATTGCACTTGAAGCAGAAATCCGCAAGTCATAAAAATAATCAATTTTTAAAGTTAAAAACATGAAGATTTAATTTCTGCTTAAAAGTTTGTAAGGGTACATTTGTGCCACTCTTTTATTAATGGAGGGTCATTTGAAATTACGTCTTGTACAACTTACATGTACATGTACATGTACGTTGTACCGATCATATTTTTTACAGAAATCATAATGCCGGTTCAAATGACTTACGGTATATCAAAATAAAGAATTATTGTAATTAAATTGGTCAATAAAAAATAATTTAAAAGACGATATTTATTTATGTCTGGATGTAATACTTAGTCTATGTCCAGTAGTATTTAGAATGGGAGGAGAGAAGGGGAAATAAAAAGATGTGTTAGAGCAAAGATTCCCCTAGAACTGCTGATTAAACAATTCTCTTTGACCTGAAACCAGAAATATTCATCGGAGGGTTGTTTAGGATGGGATGTATTCATCGGAGGGTAGTTTACAGGAGGGAAGCTGTTAATCATCGGAGGGTAGTTTACAGGAGGGGAGCTGTTAATCATCGGAGGGTAGTTTACAGGAGGGGATGTATTCATCGGAGGGTAGTTTACATGAGGGGAGCTGGTAATCATCGGAGGGTAGTTTACAGGAGGGGAACTGTTAATTATCGGAGGGTAGTTTACAGGAGGGGAGCTGTTAATCATCGGAGGGTAGTTTACAGGAGGGGA